AGCCCGTCCTGTATATTCTGACCCTGTAACAACTTTTGCGGTCGCAATTACTCCCATCTGAAAGCCAGTCTCGTCGAAATTGTATATATCCTTCGCTAGTATACCATATTTCGCAACAATATTATGTACTAATCGAAACCAATCTCGGATAATCGTAGGATCCTCGCATTTTGCGCGCTTATAGTCGTATTTACGAGTGTATTTCGTCCGTAAAGAGTCGTGGCGCTTTATAAAGTTGTCAACCCAGCATTTTCCGACAATAATTCGACCTACTCCAGTTCGCTTTTCCAGTAGTAAATCGGCCATTTGGCGTATCGAATCTTTCCGTACTGGCAGACCTCTAGCTTCCATTAATAACATCCATTGTATAAGTGCTGATTCCTCGAGGTCGGTGAGTTTCTGGTTTCGGGGTCGGAAATCGCGTTGTGGAATAGCTCCCTTGACGCGGTCGTAAGTAGTAGAATATGGCGCATCGTACCTTGTACAAGCTACTTTTAAGCTTGTACATTGACCCTTATTGTATGCACTGATTGCAAGAGCAATTTGACCTTCTTTTCGAGACATTTGAACAATAATTGGGTAAGTTATGTAGATTGAAAGTGTGTAGGGTGGTTAATGGTGGGGTAAAAAATCCGGACTGCTTATAAATCCGGACTCCTTATGAAGTACGTTAGAATAGAATAGAGGATTATTTTGATGTTCTAGTGAACAAGTATAAGAAGGTGTTTCTTATATTCAGCTAGCTATAAGTCTTACCTGTTGACTATCCCCGTTTAAGAGTAGAGGATCTCTTAAGAATTTAACCTTTTTCTTTCTCTCTTGAAAAACTTGAATAAATGAAAGAGGGGTCTGGCAACCCCTACTCTATCCTTACTATTCTCTCCTTTTTAGGATAGAATATATACCATCGAGTAATATGGGGCTTTTATCATGGTTACTTGCATGATACTACATTATATTATAATACCTTTGATATTGTGTTACGGTATTAGGGAGGAGAGTAGAATGGGTGGTTGGGTGGTTGGAGATATATCTTCTTATTGTTTTACTTGTACTTATACTATATGTATGTTATGGAAAAGGATTTTAGTTGTTGATGTAGGAGGGTGATCGATACTAGTGATATCCTGTATGAAGAAGTGGTTAGAATATTTTGTGTTTGGGGATGGGGATGGGGATGGTTAGTTGTTGTGGAATGGGATAGGAGGAGGGGAGGGGATAGATGATATGTGATGTGGTTGAGATTTAATCGCCATGATTTGAATGGGCTCTCCACGCGTGGCTCCCGGCTTGATCAGAACTAGTATAGGGTTTCTGGCGCAGGAAGCAAGGCGAGACATGTAGAACAATCATTAATTTAGTTCACTTTACACAAGTTCTCAAGTTCCAACAGAACCCTCATCCAGCTTGGTAGTGCATACACAAATGATTCTTATCACACCGTATGAAGTTGCACAACGCAGCTTTCTGTGGAATACACCTTGCTTTTTATATGGACAGACTCCTTTTTTCTGTAATCAAGAGGGTGGGAGCGTGAGGTCCCTTTTCTAAACTTCTAAACTTCTAAACTTCTAAACTTTTGGCCTCTACTTGCTAGTCCTATTTTGAACTACAGTATGGATGGTTATAATTCTATATCATCCACTAATCCTCTGCCGTTTCGCAAACACAGGCGATATTCGGCAGCCAATTGTAAGCCTTACCAAGATACATCCAGCAGGATACATCTTGACACTATACTTCTTCAGGATTATTAGGATTCCCTTCCAAGGTTCTCCTTTAGGTAATATTACTTCGGAACCGATAGAACGACGTGGTATAGTCGTCGCTGTGATGGAGCAAGTAAGAGGAAAAGTTGCTCCGTACTGAACTTCCAAATTTAAACTGATCAGTACAGGTGTATATAAGCAAGGAGAAAATTTACGATTTGGTGAGTGTGTGTGGGTAAGTGTTTAAAATCCGTACCCACTTTCTCTTCCTCTTACGAGACGAAATTGTATTTATAGGGAAGGCGAGAGGGAGAGCTCTACTACAAGGAGAGAAGTGTCGTGCTTTGCCTTCGTGCTTTCTCTAGTGTTGTTGTTGTGAAGTTGCGCCACTAGCGAAGGTATATCGGGGCATGTTAATGATTACTAGTATCTCCCGCACCGCCCGGCGTAACTCTCGACCGGGATTAAGCACCCTCGCGTAGAATTGTTTAACGCATTAAATGCAGGTCAATTCTGACACCTTGGCATTGCTAAGCTATCAATTGTACTGGATCTTAGTAAGGAGTTATATAGTCACAAGACTAGAACGTGACTATATGTTTCTAATAAGATAACTATTTGATTAGTAATTGAAGTACTTCTCTTTATACTATATATAATTATATACTTAATCTTAATGAGTTTGGATTAGGCAAATAACTTAGCTCAAGCTGTCATTTGTATTAGGAGACGTTACAAATCTTGGTACAAATCTATATGTTGTTTTTCTACCTAGGATAGCACGTCCTTGACCCACTTTCAATTTACGCCGGACGGTGCAGGAGATAGAGGAAGGTAATACATATAGCTCCTACGCTATATATTCCTTCATGGCGCAGATAATACTATGGTTAGGTCCTACGCTACACATTTATTACTGGCATAGATAAGTACTTCACCCCTTAACATTTCCTTGGCACCTCTGCCTCTCTCGCTTAGCCACGATTCACTCTCATCACATCAACAATCTACCACTACTCCAACACCACCTAACAACTCCCAAAACGTACAGAAATCCCCTAAAACCCAACCAAAAAAATGCAAAAAATCCTAACGCCTTTCGACGTCGCCAGGGAGAGAAACCAGACGTACTGAGTTTCTTCTATTGGGCTATCATTCCTGCGCTCTTCCGTTTTGAGCTAACAGGCACCATGTTTCAGTGTGTACGGCCGTTGTCTCAACAGTAACATTCTGACGTGTTAACATGTTACCGCTGAGCCAGATAGACGTGTTCCGTGGAAGCGTACAAATGATTGAGGGTTGGTTGCTTGTTTCGAAATATGAAGGGTGTTGCTGGGTATTTGTGGAGCTTGGGTGCTAGCGTGGATGGCAAGCCGAAGAGGGGCCGAGGGAGGGGGAGTGCTGGGCGCTATGTTGGAATTTTGGAAGGTGAGGTGAATCTGTGGGTTGAATCTTGGCTTGGGTGTAGATGTAGATGACGGCGTAGCGAGTTGTCCTTTATCTCCGGCTCTCAATGTACTGGAAGTATGAGAGCCAGCGTACTCATTGGCAACTTCTTACTGGTAACCTAAACTCAAGAATCACTGCCGAGGATGCTAGGCTAGCTGACCTTTGAAGTGAAAACCTCGGGATTCAAGATGAAGTTCATCTTCAGAATGTTGGTTCTGACGCGAGTACAGCATTGTTTGGGAATGTAAAGCGTCTACATATATTTATAAGGAGAGAAGATGAGTGGCTGCGGCCTTTGTATTCGACCAAATCACGGCTGCTATATAGGAAATATTGATTTGGCTGAATCGACGATGTGTTTCACCCTTTCTCTTACTCCAGATTTGCAGTCCTTTGATGGAGATAGCGATTCTTACCCAAAAGGACGACGTATCTCTAGCTCTGACTACATATAGGTAAAGAGCACTGATTGGTTACTTCGCTCATGAGAGGACTATAAGTCGCAAAGTTGCCATGCTCATATTTCACAGATTTACCCGACACCAGGAGTGATCCATCAAAACATGATGTATGTATCCATCTGACGCGAAAGTATTATCTCTTTGTCATCGAGCTGCTGGAAATGAGCTAAATTCGTTTTGGAGAGAAAGAGAGAGTACTCAAATGGAGGGGGTTTTCCTCGTAACAGATCATGGCTATGGAGTGCAATTCCACAGTACTATTCAACCCATTTTGGCTAACTGCATTCTTCAACGGAATCCAGACCTCTCGGCATAGTTTCATATATTAAATGGGTAGGAGCACAAGCGGATTCCTGCTGTTTATTCGACCCGGCGTGTTAGTTACCAGTTCGTCTTGGACGATGCAAGACTTAAAATTAACTCAAGTAGAAGGCGTAGTCAGGATGGATTATCAGTAGATCAAAGGGTGGAGGGCCATGCTAGCGACCTATTTAAAGGCGGGTGTGTATGGTAGATATATTCTCAGCAGGATATCTAGGGCCTTTGCCGTACTGGCTTTCTGCAATGGTTTGGTGGTTAATAAATTAAGTGAGACCCGACGGGTTGTGGTTGTCTACGGTCCTTTCAACCAATCCAAGAAGGCCTTGAAGCGAAACTTGACGTTTGATATTAATAGAAAGCATGTTTCCATTGTTTCTTTTTTCCCCTCTAATCGTAGACTTATAACACTGTGTTTGCGAAAAAGTGAAGATGTGCAAAGTTCTATAATGAATGCCAAGTAATCGAATCATCATGTCCAGTAAATCAAGAAGAAATATAAACAAAGATAAGTCATGGGGAGTCTCAACGGTGGTAGAGGTGAGTACTTTTATCGAGAAAGACCTCTTTTGGAGACAAGTCTAAGAATTCGACATTACTACAGAAGAATCGAAGCGTGAGGGATACTATAGTTAAAAAAAAGCAGGATAGGCCAGATTTAGATAAAAACCGTTCTTTAGTAATTAATCCCTATAGCCAAACAAAGTATTAAGAAGATGAAACAGAAGAAGAAGGGCGACTTTTCTTGACATATTTTCGTGAAAATTGGGATAGGAAAGATGGTGGCACCAACTTGGCCATAAGTGTCTCCTATTCCATTTTGTATGAATTTTTAATCCCTTATCACAAGATAGATAATATCTGGCTTAATGATGTTACTGTCGATTTCCAAATTACCCTCGAAACCAAGCCCCGAATTCGAACTCAATAATTAGCGCACGCATTTCCATGGCCTTAAGTTAACACTTATCAATCACTTTAACAAAGGACCTCCTTAATAATCCCCACGTCAGGAATAATATCCTGAGTATACCCGGCCATTTATGTGCCTTGAACGGGAAGGTTTTTGAGTTGCTCATCTCGAAGAGGTTCAATACGAGCTTTTATAGGATACTACATTGAATTACTGTGTAGTGGTTCAAATATACTTGTAAGTCTATTAAGGTTTCAGGGGAAATATAAAACTGCTATAATTCAGCAAAGCAAACCAATGGCTTTGGAGTCATCTCTGAATCTTAAATATAACTTGCACTCTCTATAAAACTTCAATCCTCGCCTTCACTTACTCCAGCTTGGCCCCACTTGTTATACAAGCAAGTCAAATCCACGATAAACCATCGAAAGAACTGTCAAATTCTCACTTTTAGCTGTGGATACAGAGAGAAATTCTCTATAATGTTTTCAGACCTGTGTAATGTCCTCTACCACTCCCTGGTTTCCGGATGGGTTTAAAATCTTCAACAACCGATGACTTATCTAAGCTATTCCCGGAGGTAAAACCTTTCATGCGCAAATGAACAATCATCAAGAGCCGGCATGGCCTTTAGCCAGCGGGATATCGTCAAGGCGCGAGGGTGCTGCGGTATAGCAGTAATTACGTTGCTATCGGAGCAGGGATGTGAGCATCGACAATTCTTTTGATTCATAATGTTTTACTCTTTTTAAAAGACAATCTCAGCTCAGCGTTCCAGCTTCAATAACATAGTCGATAAAGGTAGCAAACGTCACGACTGGAAAAGAACCCCAACATACCACTCATAGACTTTTATACCTCACCAGACAAACAACGCGCCATCCTGGTAGTATCCATCTATCCTATAGGATACCACGTTCCACCGATAGTCATCCATCAGATTCCATGTACTGGCGTATTAACGGAGAAGTATACGTACATGACAGCCGTCAGAAGCTCTTATTGCCAAATAGTAAGTTACTCTCGATTCTTTCTCATCTCCCGTTGAAACAAATCCTATTATGCTTCCAACCCAGTTCGTTACATAGAACTCCCACCCCAACCTCACCTTCTTAATCTGGGTTCTGGCATACCCTTACAATGTTTACGGCAATACACTGCCAACCACATAACAAATCCCGAATACCATCAGAAATAGTGAATCCAGAACTCCAGTATTATGATCTCCATCCACTTATCCTCAATCCTAGATAGACATGACTCTACCAAAAAAATCAACATCGCTTCTACATATCATTCTACTGTACAACAGTGTTAAGTAAAGCACTTTATGTAGTCGCTACCTTTATCTACACTTCTCCGCGCCCCCATAGGATCTCTCTACTTCCCATTAGCATAAAAAAGAAATACTTGGCTAATCGAGTATACACGGGTTATACTTAGTTAGGTTGAGTAGGTTCGAGTATAGTCTAGCTAAGTAGATTAGAGCAGTAGATTAACATAAAATAAACTACTTAAGTATACTTAAGTATTTAGCTATAAATAGTTCTCCTTAAATAATAGTTCTATTACTCGCTCTTCCTTCTCGTTTAAGAGCTTGATCTTATTCTTTATTATAATATTAGCCACTAGCTAAAGATTCGCTTACTCACCGGACCTATAACGTGTATCTATAAATATTATTCTACTAAAATAGATAAGATAGAGAATAGTTTACGGTATTTACTAGTACAAGGGAATACATACTCGGCTAAACTAAAGTAGGTGGGCCGACCAACCGGAGAACCTCAGGCCGTCCTTTTCTGTACTACTTAAGTAGTACTCCAACCTACTTAATTCTTGGCGAATAGGTTAGAGTAAGGCTAAAATCTACTTAAGTAGAGTTAAGTAGAAACCTCATTCATATTCAAAAACCTGAGACACAAAAGTATCCATTATTTAAGTGAAGGAAATAAAATCAATCATCATTTCTAGCCCAGAAACAGTTACCACCCACAAAATTACACAGCTCACAAGTCGAAACGTCAAGAGAAAATCATACACCATCAGTTGTTCAAGAAAATAAAACTAATTAAGTATCGCGCACAAATGGTCTGTCAAGGTAGGTTGAAAGCGCTCTAAGGAGCCTGGAATTAGACGAGAAAACTCCGCTATATAAATGGATTTGGGGTGGGTCACGTGGCCATGAGACACGTGACACGATACCCCATAGGTTGAAAACGTCTAAGGAGCCTGGAATTAGACGAGAAAACTCCGCTATATAAGTGGATTTGGGGTGGGTCACGTGGCCATGAAACACGTGACACGATACCCATATCCAGTACGTGACATTAAGCGCCTACTGTACATACATCTTGTATCTTTGCTGTGCGCCAAAAGTTGAAATCAAGAAAGATTTCCTCGCTACATTCTTCCAATTTTCTGACATCAACCTTGTGGTGTACTGTTATGCCACCACAAGAACCAAGAAAACAGAAGAAACAAGAAGAAATATCAAAAGGGCTTAACCTTTGCAAGATAGGAAAATACCCTCTTGCCAAAAAACCACCACCAACAAAAAGATGTCCTCCAACATTAAATTGATCATGCGTCAACAAAAGTATCAACACAATGATCAGCCAACACATCCACAACTCTCCTTGGAGAGACAAAACTAATAGCAAATCGTCCACAGGATTCTACACCAACGAAATCAAAAACATACCAAGAATCCCTATGCAATAAGCAGATTATTCATAACCTCCAAGAAATTGAGAATTACGACCAAAATTTCTTCTAATGGACCCAGATTATGGCAGACTGAAACCTCCATTGACGGCATTAAGCAAGTCATTGGAGTTTGTACGATTTTGTGCAAAACGTTCGTAGCTGTCAACATAGAGATCATCAGTACTCGTGGTGTTCTTAACATGCTCATTATTTTCAACAGCCTCCAACCAAACACCCCACCTTGTGCCTGGAATTGGATCTTGCCAGTTGCGATAGTGTTTTAAAACGCGAGAGAAACGGAGCATCCATGGAGCAAATTGAACGTCAACATATGACATGTGAGGTCCAAAGAAGAATGGTCCTTGGGCATCGCATGCTCCAACGATCTCAGTGATGTAGTCTTGAAGCTTTTTAGTGGCCTCGAGTTGGGACAGATGATCAACTGCTTGTAGGAGCTTGAAGAATGCTGGCACGATGAATCGATTAATCTAACGATGTTAGCAGTTTCGAAAAGTGGCCGAGGGGAGGTGTATTACATGATCGCTCCAGAAGCGGGAGATGGCTCTGAGTTGCGGATTGTTGGTTGGCAACAGTGGCATACCGATGCCCAAATCTTCCAACTATGAGTCATGTTAGTAGGAAGTTTTATAATGCCAGAGAGGAGATGACACTCACATATTCCATCAGGACTGTGCTCTCACCTGAGCCCCAGTTACCATGAGAAAGACCAGGTACCGTTCCTCGAGGGTTGATGTCAAGCAATGCTTGGGGTTTCTTGAAAGGGTCAACTTCAATGTATTGATATTGTAATCCCTTCGCTTCCAATGCAATCCAGACTTTTTGAACCCAGGGACTAGAGATTTGTGTTAGTTGTATTCCAAAATCTGAGATTGACATGGCTCACCAAAAGCAACTTCCAAACAGCTTCAACTCATGATCCTTCATGTGCTTCTTGACAGTTGTGAGTGCAGCACCACTAGCCTTCTTATGATAGGTTTTCTGGAAACAACCATCAATTAGTGAACAGAGAGAAAGACAGTGAAGACACCTCCAGAGAAAGAAAAAGGCCATGAAATGCGTACCTGTTGCTTCTTTGCTTCCTTCTCATTCTTCATCATCATGCGCTGAACACTGTTCTTCTTGACTCTATCGCTTTCAGCTAGATCATGCTTATGTGGACCTGGAACTCCATCTCCTTTTCCATTTCCTCCATTGCCATTGACTCTTTGGATAGTGTAGAATGGTTTGCCGCTTTGGCCAGGATGAGATGGGTCAAGCAATGACATTCCAGTAAACGGTGGTTGATTTTGACCTTCTCCTTGGCCAGGAAAGAAGTTGTCACCCTGAGGCTGATCTGCTCCAACACCATCCAATGCAAATCCATCTGTTTGCATGGCACCGGGGAAATATTCTGTGATTTTGATTTTGACGTCACATAGATCGCGCTCCCGAGCAGTCCGCTTACGCTTCTTCTTATTGGGGTCATCAGATTTGGGTGTTCCTGGAGGGCGTCCTTTAAGACGACAATCCCAGTAGTGAGAGACGAATTGTTTCTTCTTGTACTTCTGCGTTGAGCGATGGGAGTAGACATTGTCAACATGGGGAAAGTAGGTATTGTATCTATCAATCAGTTAGCAGATGCATGAAGCGAGGGGTGAATATCAACTCATACTCTTCCTGGCTCAATGTGATCATCTGATCAACGTCGAAGAGGCGTTGGCGCCATGCTGCGAGGTTTGGAGGATTTGCTACAAAATTTGTATTGTCATGGACATTACTACTTGGAACTACACCTTCTGGAATGGAATTGCTGCCAAACAAATCTGCCGTTTGAATAGGGCCAATGGCATTGTGGCTGAGCTGATTCAAAAGATTGTATGTGGCATTGTTGTCATGTTGTTCGGAGACATGGGAACTGTCATGAGGGTTTGGATGTCGTTGCTCATAGGGATTGGGATCAAAGGCATGGCCATTGGGATCGTCTATATGAAGGCTTTGGTATTGAGTTCCATCAAGACCGCTGAGGTCGAGGCCTGGTTGAGAGGTGAGGGCATGATGGGCGTGGGTGAGGTGAGTTTGATTGTGTTGTTGCAGACCAGCGGATTGCGACTGGAGAGCAGCGCGATATTGACCGTGGAGTTCTTGCTCCATCTCAACGCTATCAAAGCAGCGATGCGATGCTGTAATTTTGGACCCGATAGAAAAGCGGCGATGCTTTTGATGGGCAAAACTGGGCTGTCGGGCAGGCGAGCTGGCAGGCTGGGGTAAAAAAGACTCGTCGTAGCGCAGGCGGGAAGAAGCTTGGACTGGACTCAGGCCCGGGGAATACGACACTAAGCCTGTTTGGGGTACCCGGTACGTGCCAACCAGCCCTCCAAGTCTAGCATTTTCCGGGGAACTGCAACTGCTCCCTGGTCGGGAGTACATAATTCTTTTTTGATAGAGATATTCCGTATATACTCGTATTGTATATGTTTTTGCAAGAAGTTACTGCACTCTTCGTTTCCTGTTATTGAAACTTTTTAGAGATAATGAAGGTTGTGTAAGTCGAAGGAACTTATAAACGAGAGAAAGTCAATATTACTAGTTATATGTTCCACTTACAGCTTCATGCAATCTTGATATTTTCAACGTACTCGAGTACAAACGTTGAAAAGGTACTGGAGTTTACAGAAGGAAATTGGGAACTCATGCAAGAGTTGCCAAAGTACTAGGTATGGGATGGTAGTACACTTGGGTCTGGGTGTAAACAGAGTTCTCTTATTGTCCTAACTTTATAGAACAAGATACAATAAGCCTAGTCACCCAGAGCAATCATACCAATTAAGCCAATCCCTTCAAACTATCACACTGATCAATCCAAATATCCAACTCATTTACTGGTACTTGGGATGAATCCAAAGGGAGCGAGAGAGCTCCGCATGAATCCCACTAGTCCTAATCAAGCCATACGCCCCACTCACTTTTTCTGCCCGTTCTATCTGGTACTTGGAAGCTCCAGATCACTCGCGGATTCTCGACAGCAATCATCAACATGGCAGCCTTTCTCAAGGACATCTTTGGCGCCTCTCAGCCATCTGCCTCTTCTGCTCCTTCTGGCGATTCTGGTACGTAATTAGTGAATACCCCGAATAATTCATCAATTGCTAACATGGAATGGACAGACTTTGCGGATTTCGCTGGAGCTCCTGACCCAACCCCAGCAGGTCTCTCGAAAGCCCCGACATCTGGGTTTGGAGGAGCTGTGCCAATCGGAAGCGCTGTTCCTTGGACAAAATGGTACAATGTGCATGAGCGACACTCACTCAGCGATTTCAAGCAAGAAGGGCTTATTCTCTCCTTCATTGCTGTTATTATTGTGATACATCTTTTTGGAACAGGCACCAACCAAAAGAAGGCCAAGTCATGGATCGCGGCGCATTCGTCGCTCTTGAAGAAAGAGTTTGCACTTGTTGGATTTGGTGGCCCACAACCTCCAAGCGTGGATGACGTTCAGAGCGAAGGTCTTGCGAAGAGCTTGGCCTCCGACACTCTACACCTACCAGAGGATTTGTTGAAAGAGAAATCGCCTTACGAGTTCGCAACATATGCGACTGGTCGACTAAACATCGCGTTCCTCGATGTCAATTTGACTCTCCACAAACGCTACAGCCCGGTATCGACGATTGCTGAATATGCCATGAGCTTGTTCTTCGAGAGTATGCCAACCCCCGCTGAGCGAATGGAGGCCATTATCTATCCATTCGACGGACGTGAGGCTCTCTCAGTTCCAGGCGCACCCCCGGGCGCTCAAGAGGTTCGAAAAGACCCTAAGAGCAACTACGATGGATTTGTATGGGCTCTCGTAAACAAGGATACTATGAAACAACTTCGCGATGACCGTTACGATGTATCTCTCACTGGCACAAAAGACAGCCCTAAACTTCCAAATTGGGTTACTGTCATGAGTGAAAGCGCTGAAATTACCGAGTTCATGCTCACGCCAGAGCTCATCAAGGCTGTTGAAGAGGCTGGCGAGCTTTTGGAACATTTGATTATTTCTGATCAACCAGTTGATCAGCCACAGAGGTGAGTCCAAACGCTTCTTCCCTTGAAAATACTGGAACTAACCGAGTAATTCAGACTCGATGATACCGCCCCTAAGAAGCGTATCCAATTGTCCTATACTATTCCATCATCTGGCGATTATTCTAAACTTACTCCTATTTTCACGTACTTTCTCCGCTTGACCGATACTCTCGTTCAGGGGGCCCATTTCCGACCAGAAGTTCTACGAAAAGTTCGTACGACTCGTGAAGATGCTATCCGAAAGTTGCAAAAGGCCGACGAAGAAGAAAAGGCTGAGGAGAGACAATTGGAGAAGGAGAAGGCAAAGAAGCTTAAGAGGGACCTTGAGCTCAAGGGTCTTGATGCCAAGGCGCAAAAGAAGTACCTGGAAAAGGAGAAGGATAGAGAGATGAAGAAGATGCAAAAGAAGCAAACGCAGAGAGGATAAGTTGTGTGTGAGAGGGGGGAATGTATTGATGTGTAAGATCAATCTTGGCGCTTTCGTTTGGGAATACGAGGCTGCATACCTGTAAAAATAAAAACCCAATGGGAAGCATTATAAAGTAATTATAAAACAATGTAATTCTTCTTATTTTACACTTTACGTGTGCCATTGACTCCGTAGCGTTGGCTCGCGCGCGTGTGGTAATGCACGTATCCCAGTTGATGCCTTAATTCACGCCCTGTTGGTCGGGCCGCTCGCTATCTTATCGGCTGGCGCAGCTACTGCGAAAATATATTTTTGCTACACTGTTACAGTACAACCACGAAACACGCAGCATCCACAAAATGAAACGCAAATTAGATGCCAATGATGTTCCCGCCCCGGCGGAGGATGTTGAGAAAGAGGTCGAGAAGGTAGGAAAGGGAACCGCCGATGTGTCGACATTTATTGGCTTGGGTCTGGATTCTCGTCTTCTGCAGGGCATCGCGCAGCAAAATTTCCAAACGCCGACTTTAGTTCAGAGCAAGGCAATTCCACTTGCATTGGAGGGAAGGGATGTTTTGGCCAGAGCAAAAACGGGCTCCGGGAAGACAGCTGCATATTTGCTACCCATTTTGCATATGATTTTGAAGAGGAAAGAGGCATGTCTTTTGCGACCCCGCGAGATGACTTTTTACTGACCATTTCTAGATTTCTGCTACGCAATGTACATCTGCATTGATACTCGTACCAACCCGTGAGCTTGCCGACCAAGTTACCAAGGCTGTCGAGGCATTCTCTTCGTTCTGCGCAAAGGATATTCGAGCTATCAACCTTACTCAAAAAGGTTCCGATGCGGTTCAACGATCCCTCCTCGCGGATTCCCCAGATATTGTTATTGCGACACCAGCCCGAGCTTCTACAAACCTAATAAACGCGGCGCTGTCTCTTGAGAACTTGGCTCACTTGGTTATTGATGAATCGGATTTGGTGCTTTCTTATGGTTATGACGAGGATCTACAAAGTGTCGCCAAGATCATGCCCAATGGTGTACAAACAATCTTGACCAGTGCTACGTTGACGAGTGAGGTAGAAACTCTGAAAGGCTTGTTCTGTCGGAATCCAGTGGTTTTGAAACTTGAGGAGGCCGAAGAGGAGGGTGAAGGTGTTAGCCAATATGTCGTAAAGTAAGTCGGGTTGAGAAGATTTTATCCATTTCCCGATAAATACTGACCGAATTATAGATGCGCAGAGGACGAAAAGTTCCTGCTTCTTTATGTCATTTTCAAACTCCAATTGATCAAGGGGAAATGTATTATTTTCGTTGCCGACATTGACAGATGTTACCGATTAAAGCTTTATCTGGAGCAGTTCGGAATAAGAAGTTGTATTCTCAATTCTGAGCTTCCTGTTAATACAAGAATTCACGTGGTGGAAGAATTCAACAAGAATGTGTACGACATCATCATCGCTTCGGACGAGCACGAAGTGTTGGGCGACGAAGAGACACCCAAAGTCAAGGAGGTCAACGAGGATGTTGCCGAGGGCGAGAAGGTGGAGGCTGCTCCAAAACAACCTTCAAAAAAGAAGCGGAGGACTGTAGAGAAGGACAAGGAATACGGGGTTTCTAGAGGAATCGACTTCAAGAATGTCGCCTGCGTTTTGAATTTTGACCTACCAACATCTTCAAAATCGTACACCCACCGAATTGGACGTACAGCCCGAGCTGGTCAAACCGGAATGGCACTGTCATTCGTTATTCCCGCCGACAAATACCGAAAACACGTACCGACAAGTATCGAATCATCAAAGGATGACGAGAAAGTCCTGGCGAAGATAACCAAACATCAAACCAAGAAAGGAAAGGAAGTCAAGCCATACAAATTCGACATGAAGCAAGTTGAAGCTTTCAGATATCGGATGGGCGATGCCTTGCGAGCCGTGACGAGAGTTGCGATCCGTGAGGCTCGTACCAGGGAGTTGAGACAGGAATTGATGAAGAGCGAAAAGCTGAAGCGGCATTTTGAGGAGAACCCTGGTGATCTTCATCATCTCAGACATGATGGGGAGTTGCGAGCGGCAAGAGTCCAGTCGCATTTGAAGCATGTGCCCGATTACCTCTTACCGGAGGGTGGAAAGAAAGCACTTGCAGCGGGTGAGGTTGGATTCGTTGGGTTTAAGAAGGCAGATGGTCGAAGGAGGCAGAGATCTGTGAAAGGACGGGGAGGGAAGAAAATCGGGGCAAGGAAGATTGATCCTTTGAAGTCATTCAAGGGCAAATCGAGGAAGTAGATTGTGTAGAATTGTGGAGTAATAAAAAGCTGTGGAATAGTTTGCTAGGCGTATTATTGGAGCATTGGTAGTCTGATTTCTTGGGGTTTGAGAGCGTCGAGGGGACTGGAGAAAAGCAAAGAATCCCTTTACTCCATTCTCATTTCCCTTGTGGGGTTTTCCATAATTTGAAAAGAGTCCTTTTCTGGGAATTGCTGGCTGCTTGTTGGCTTTTCAGTACCTGTTCTGTACCTGCGTGTGTGTTGGGAAGCTTGTCTTGTGACTGGCTGTAAATAGCAGATGGAGACAAAACTTCACCTCAGTTCCTTGCCAGCGTTAGAATGAGTTGAGTTGAGTAGTGGCACCTACTCAACTCAACTCATCTCAAGTGGATTAAAGGCCTACTCAATTCGCCAAGTACTCGAGTTGAGTTTAGTACAACTTGAGTAGTGCGGAGTATACCGGGCCGAGCGTCGGGGGCTCGGTCAACCTGTATGCTGCATAAGCGGCGATTACCAGGGTGGTCGGACCGGCTACCCGACGCGCGGCCCGTACTTCTTGATCAGTACTTGAGTAGTCAAATCCATAGTGCCTTAGAGGAAAACCCCCATATATAAAGCGGTAGTAATACATTAGTAATACGATTGTATTTTACAACCGTTGTAATTTTGCGCTCCGTGCTATGCCGTTGTGCTACGGTTGTACTAGGTGGTGGGTATTACGTGCAACCGTTGCGAGCTTTGCAACCGTCTACTTTTTACAACCGTTGTAACTTTTACAACCGTTACAAAATTTCACAACCGTTGTATACCGTACTCGTTATAAAGTTTACAACGGATGTAAATAGAGACGGTTGTTTTGCTTACAACCAGCGATATTTGCATCCGTTGCAAGCTTTATAACAGTTGTATTAATTTGCAACCGTTGCGCAACCGTCGTGCAACCGTCGTACAACTGTTGCGCATTTTACAACAGGCTACAACTACGTGCGCCCTAGGTAGTATACGGCGCCAAGACTCGGAATGCCCTCAATTGAGGAAGGCACACCTGCCTACCTCCCAAGTAGCACACCCTCGCCGCTCAACTAATGTATTAACGCACGTACGAGTACCGGGTACTCAGCGCCTGTAATACGCGTAGGGGAACTTTGTCTAAATCGATCGAATCTGTCACTTATATAATTATAGCGTTGTTGTCAGTAGTCTCCTAGACTTCCGAGCACCTACATATAGACTCCCAAGGTTCGTCCGAGGCCCTGCCTCCTAGTACTTTTTATAACCGTCGTTGTAACCGTAGTACAACCGTTGTAAATTTACAACGGTTTTATAGTAGTTATAGTCTACAACCGTCTTAACCTTTATAACAGTCTTAGACTACAACCGTTATACTTAGTATAACAGTTGTATATTAAGCTAGTTGCGCTCTTTACGCTGGTTGTAAGAATTAACTAGCGTACTACAGTTAATTAAGACAGCCAGCTTAATCGCTAACTAGTTATAATATATAACTAGTTGTAACTTATAGCGGTAATACTTCGATTGCAAATTTTACAACGGTTCTAAATTTCACAACCGTATTACTACGGATTTTAAAATAGGGGTTTTCCTCTAATCTACTCAACTCAACTTAACTCAAGGTAACTCTAAGTAGTACTCGAGTTGTTGAGTAGTTTGTTACAACGCTGTTCCTTGCTTAACTACGTGGTTTATGAAACGGTAGCCTCTATGGGGATATTGTATCTGAAGACACATTGTTTCTAAAAGTCTCTCAGGGTACTTTGAGAAAAGGTCAAAAAGGAAAATTGGTGGAGTGAGTTGCGCTAAGAGTGTTCCCTAAGCTGCGAGTGGCTACAGTAGAATTCTGCGGCGAAGGCCATCTTCTCATACACAGAAGATCATAGATTAAATTTCCAACCCAAAAACCAACAAAAGATGATCTTGCCAACTTCTGCTACTCTTGAGCACTATTTACTATTGTCCTACCCATTTTCTTCCTAAAAAGTTCATCATGCGTGTCACTTTTCCTTGTATCTTTGACGTCTCTGGTTTCTTGGGGCTGTGTCAGGGGTTTTCTCGCTTCCGACCCCTCTTTTTGTCCTAAGGAAAACATACTGAAATTGAATTTTCTTGTGTGGTGGAATTTCTCCTTGTCTGCCTCCAAAATACGCACGGCTCAGGAGGAAAACGGAATTGAGGGAAGGCTATGCCAATTTTTCTAGTACGATACCTTGGTTCCTTTATATAAGTATTATCTTCTAACTTTTGTCTTTCCAGTTATCTTGGTTGTTTACTCATGACCTTGTTGAATAGCCATACTATATATTCAGACTTGTTAGAAAGTGGGTTACTGCTGATTTTGTTTCGCTCAGGTAATTCCTTTTCCGACCTCTATCAATAAATATTAATCACAACATTTTATGTTCGTTCATGCCTTATTTCCTGGCTGTTCAATCATTCCTTTGTCTAAATATATAACCTTTTGACATTTTTTTCATTAGCTCTACATCAGTTTGTCATACTCAAAATTGCTTGGTTCTGAAAGTTTCTGCAAGAAGTTCTTGGGACCGCTTTTCGAACTTCCTAGACTACTCTTTCAAGTAGTTTTGGGGCAAGCCATTGCCATCAACCAAAAGGGGTTAGAATATTCGGCAAACATATTTTCTCATTCTTAAGCCTATCAAAACTATGACTATTATTTTCCTAAAATTCTGGCACAACCTGTCTGGTCACCTAACAGCTGCCACCTTGATGTCCAATACCCTGTAGGAACTTGACTATGATTCAATTTTTCCTCTACTTCAACACTGCATCACCTTTAAATCAACTCTGATTCCATTCCTTACTCAGTGAATTGTCTGACTCCTAAACTTCTACATGTGGTTCTTCTTGCGATCTTTCCAGGCCTTAACGAACCTCTTTACCGCACCTCTTTACCACAACTCTTCGGACTCTGCGTTGTCCTTAACCTTCAGCACTTAATCACCGTTGCATCACTTCATAATAGACATATCATAACGTCAAATTCTTCTACCAAAGATTGATGACCCAATCCCCTTTGTAATCCGGATCCTCAAAGCCCAATTTCGGATACTTCTCTTATTCCACTGTTCCCATCAAGCAGACTCCCCATTGAAGGATTATTCTTTCCACGAAACTTATTCACCGAACCAGTTCAGTACAACTGTCCTCAATTCAGTAGAGCGACTTGAGCCGAACAACCGACCAGCTATCCTTGGGAAGGACAAGAGCTGATCTTGTGAGCTGCCCCGCTTTTCCCTCCATATAAACCCCCTTCCTTCCACCTCTACTCTTCCACAACTCAACCATCATACTTCAACAACAATCCCTTTCACATCAAGCATCAAACCTCCATACACCTTCATACACACTTCACATACACAATCACCTTTCTACCTTACATCGTTGCATCGCTCATCAAGCCAACAGTGTCGGCCTCGGCCTGACAACACTATTTCTTTAACCAAATTGTGCAAGCCCTTTGGAGCAAAGGTGAGGTGATTACACCTGAGCTCCGATTGGTATTTGCTATCTCTCAAGTAAACTGTGGGTTTCCTGGAGCCCTTGGTTCAAGTCAATTGAGCGCCCTTTAGCTCGGGACTTAATACCGAACCAATTCTTTTTACAAGACACCAACCGTCGAACAGTCGGCAACGCATCATAGCCAGATCATACCCACAACCTTGGCTACCTCGACTTTCGACTCTTTACGGTCTTGGCCATCATATCTTTCTTATCTTTCACCATCTGTCATCTATCAAAGCCTCATCGTCAACCATCTTCTACAAACTGTTGGTCAGCCTAGATTACGTACTACACACTTTTCAAGCGATGTAAGTGGTCTTTCCTAGTTATTCTTCTGTCATTGCTGGTCGGGTTTTCTCCTTACATTCAGATTGAATTTTCTTTTCTCAAACTTGCTTGGTATGTTTGTAATGTAGCTCTCCTCTTACTGCAAGCACATTGCACAATTCTCTCAAGTTCTTTCAGTTAATTTCACTCTATTTCATAACTTGGTCCAATTAACTTCAGGTCCAATTGCATGTTTTCATCTGTTCTTATCCTCACCTTCCCGGTGAATTTCTTTTCGCCGCAGTCACTTTTGAAGGGAAATATATCCTCTCCCTTCATTACTTGCTTCTATTGTATAATAGCTAAGCTGATTTTCTAGAATATTCTCAGACACACATATTCTTCTTCAAAGTTGAACTCTTGGCTTCGAGTTCTCGGTCCCTATCCCAAGCTATACTCCCTCCCCATTACGACGGAGTTTGACAAGATTACTCTCACTCTCATATCTTATTCCAAATGCATCCTTAATGGATTGATCAACTCCGAACAAAAATGACTGAATATCAACCGAGCTTCCACAATCACCAAATCCCTCAAAACGAGGAAATTCTGATAGTCGATCCCCCTGAGCGTCAGAGAAGTGTCAACTCTCAAAACCGCAGTTATCGCCGTCAATCAGAGAGAGGACGCTCCAGTTCCAGAAAACCACAACACACATACACACATAATTTACACAATAGCAGCCCAGGCGCGTCTTCCGCACATGATCCGATTTCGCTCTCAAGTGATGAATCTCCACCTGAAAGAAGACCAAGGAAGCGTGCAGCCACAGTTTTGCCTCCCGACCATCGTTCATCGAAAAGAGTCCATCGGGCTGGTTCTGTATTTCCTCCTGGACACGCGCCACAAGCCAATACATTTGAATACCAAAATACAGTTCAAATGAGAGACATCAATATGCATTGTCTAAACAGTCCAATCGGATTTCAGAGTAGTATGCAAATGTCAGGAAATCGTACACCACGACCACAGGGCAATTTTCGACAGCAAAACCGGCCAAATCATGACTCTCTAATTCGAGAATTGCAAAGACAGAGGGGTGGCATTTTCACGGAGGCCGCTGGCATCCAAGACCGACTAGATCACATAAATGCAGAGGAACGACGATTACAACAGGAAATGGGACAGCGCAATGATGGCTCACGTCGTAATTCGGTTTCAATTGGCAGCCACGGTTCTATCAATGGTACTGTACTCTCTTCTCCGTCTCGCCATGGGGCTAAAGCATCTTCTTTAGGCATGCATGGCTCTAACGCCCAATCTCCTATTGCAAATGGAAGCCATCATTTGAAGCACAGTCCCGGTCCTTCAATGAACTTGCCAGCTCATCGCCCTAATGGACAAGCTTGGTTTGGAAGCCCAACTCCTTCCCAGGCAGGTCAACAAAATGGGTTCCAAAGACTGGAGAATGCGTCATCCCCTAGACCAAGGTTAGCACCAGCTATCTGGGAGGGTGAGAGTATTCCACAACCCCATCCTGTTGAATTTCTGAGAGAAAGGACCAGTCAAGCCACTCAAGGACCTAGGGGTTCAAATACGCCTCAGCGCACTTCAAGAGCTCAAAGTGTTGCTTTTGAAGGGACAACAATGGCATTTAAGAGAGGTAGAAGTGTTGTTCCTGCTGCTCATCAAAACAATGCAGGAGGTGGTTCTCCAATGAAAAGGGTCCGCAGAGTCAACAAACTTACCGGCGATTGGGCCGATTCCTCTGACGACGACGAGTCCCATGCACCTCCTAAGAGATTTCAAAGAGCCAGCACTGTGGCACCAAGCAGCCGTAGTCATGGCTTCAGTCAATTTGGTAACGGAGCTCAAGTGCAGGGAATGAGTAACCAAACCCTTCCGCGGGGCCAAACTGCCGCTCGAGAGACTCATATACAAGGCGACAATCATATGGTTAATGGAATGCACAGCCAGACCCCTCAAGGTAGACGTTTCCAAAGAGGTCAATCTGAAGTCCCCGAGACCCCTCGAAGCAACACACAAATCAAACAACCTCATTCCAATAGTACTAACTTCGCAACCCCGCTTCAATATCCGCAACCCCCAAGTCGTCAATTTGACTTCTTCAAGCCCCTAGTTATTAGATCTCCAAAACCACCTTCGGGTCCAGCCAGCATGGTAGACGATCCACTTCCCCCTCCCCCTCCAACCCCAGGAAGTGATCACGGGTCTATGCGAGAATTAATGCACAAAGCAAAATTTCAATCTCGTAATGGCATGATACCAGCTAAACAATATGTCAACGATGTCCCGAAACAAGGAATGAAGTTCAAAGCTCGCAAAAAGGCTCCTCCTCCAATTACTCCAAACACACAAATCCAAGTCATCGATCTCATTTCTCCCGACGGAAGTGAAATACGTCTTCAGCCCTTTCCTGTGCCTCCAATCGTTGAGAGACCAATGAAAGAACGCGTCACGCCTGCCTCCAAGCCTGGCGCGAGAAAACGTGGAAAGTCAGTTGCTCCTGGTGATGATCCGAGAACTGATGAACAGAAACGACAAGAACGAGCGGCGAAAATCATTGCAGAGCAGGAACGCCAAGGCGCTGAAAGAGAGATATTCGGAGATGACATCCAAAGTATTGATGAGGCGAAGAAAAAAGTCCAAGAAGAACGTGAGCGCCTTGAAGAGAAAAAACGGCAACGTGAAAGAGAAGAAGCTGAAAAACGGGAAAGTGGGGAAGTAGCTGCACGTAAAATTTTACTTGTTCAGCAGGAAAAAGCTGAGCAAGAAGAACTTCGGAAGCAACTTGCAGAATCTCGTAACAAAATCCGCAGAGAGAGAATTCGACAGAAAGCTGAGCATGAAGAGGCCGAGGCGAGAGAGGAACGTCGTGAAGCTGCTGCTGCAAAGATTGAAGCTGACAGAAAGACGGCCGAGGCAGCAAAACTTGAGAGGGAGAAGAAGAAGCGTATGGAAACTGACGTTCAAGTTCAACCCAGAGCCCTTCAGCAAACAAAGGCTAAGCAAGAGACTTTGAAAAAGCAAGTAGCTAATATCAAAGCTTCCAAGGTCAGCTCCGATGATACGGACAGTAGTCTTGTTTGTCTTGGGGAAAAGACGATTCCAGAAGCCGATAAGACTACTCAGAATGCAGGTACTCAAGAGGCAGGTAAGAGCGCAGATACTAGTAAGGGCAAGGAAATAGTCAATGACAATGCCAACGCCAACGCCAACGCCAGCTCCAGAAAGGAAGTTTTCGATGTCGAATCCGGTTTATTTGTTCCTGCAAATGTTCCCCCCAGTCAGGAGTAAGTGCCTTCCAGTACCTCGCCTTTTTTGCTGACTTATTCACAGCGGTACTGAAGTAAATACTACTGCATTAGCGAAAGACAAGCAGCCTCTTGTCTTTGAAAGAAACGTCGGGAAAAATCTATACGATTCTGACCAGCGTAGATTTCGAGGCAAGTCCTTAGGCCCCACCACGGCTGCAGAATATTGCGCAATCGCGCAAGGCCAACAATCTAAGCGACTCCAGAGTTACAGAGAGGTGCGCGAGAGAGAAATTGAGGCTCGCCGGTGTCAAGAGAAACTTCAGTCACGAATTGCAAGACGAGAACGTGAGAAAAGTGCCCCTCCTCCTCCTACAGTACCAAAAAGACCCGAGCCCAAGGCTGCAAGGCCAATTGCTTCGCAAAATGAGCCCAGGAAACCTGCCAAACCGAGAGCTACCAAGGCTTCTGGAAAGTCGGCTGAGCAGGAACTATCTTCCGCCATCTTTCCAAAGTTCATGCCCAGCGCACCAGCACCTCCCATTGCTAATAAGGGTCTTGCTACGATTGCAAAAGAACCTGCCGCACCTATTGTCTCCAAGCCAGCCCAAGGAGTTGTTGTCATAAGTGATGAAGAGCGAGCCAGAATTGATGCTCAGCACAAAAAGAAGGCCCAACTCGAACAAGAGAAACAAGCGGCAGCAAAGGCGGAGCAGAAAAAACTGCAGACCCTGGAACATAACAAGAAGAACAGAGAAAGAGCAACTCGTCAAGCGAGAGAAAAGGAAAGACTCAGGCTCATTGCAGAGGCCGAAGAGTCTGGCGTTGAACTCTCTCCGATGGAGTTGATTTCTAAGGTTGAGGATTACATGGAGAAGCGAGAGGTAAGTGGCATCCTTAGATTGTGAGGAGAAATTGCTAACAAGATGCAAAGAGAAAAATGGCGAAAACTGCTGCAACTCGTGCTATGCACGAGCAAATCAAAAACCTTGGTGCAGATGATCTAGCTATTGCACAACAAGCTTCTCAAGCTGCTGCCGCATCTCAGGCCAACAAGAATATTGATCGCGAAGATGATCCTAATGACGATAGTCCTGCAGCTCTCGAACTAAGAGCAAAAAGAAAGGCTATGCAAGAAACACTCAATACGATAGGACAAAACAGACGATCGCAGCAATCACAACCAATCCGCATGACCTGCGCTGACGAGTCCGATACCGGTGCCTCCATAGAATCTGAGGAAGACCCAGACCCAGATCTAGACCCTGCATCATCTAGCAATTCTTCCGACGATGAAGGAGCCAGTCAAAGCAGTCATACGATGAGCGGAAAATCAAATTCCAACCTCGAAAACTCCCAAATTGGCACCCAGATTGAACAACACTCTCGCTCAATCCCAGGTCCAGGGAAAAACAAACGTCGAGCTCCCCCTCGGCCTATACCTACTGTAGACCCTGAAAACTCACGCAATATGTATTCAGTCGAAGAAAAATACACCAAAGGCGGCATCACCTATCGACACCAAACTAGAAACTTATACTTCAATCTCGACGACGCCGAAACAGCAGCCAAGGATCTAGCGAATCGATACCGCGAAATAAGGCCTTACAACTACCAAGAGTTCCTTATGGATGAGGATGGTGGTATTCGATTGTTTCATGCGAAAATCCAATTTGACGAGGCGGGCGAGAATCTGACGGAAGTCTGGGTTGGGAAGGACCTTAAATCGAATGATATGGAGCCCATCGATTTTGGAATGGCCGAAATTAATAAACTGCGCTTCACCCCAAAGTGTTACATCGTTTATCGTACCATAACACGAAAAAGCACCGATCCTGTCACTGGTATCATCACGGAAGCGCAGGCAACCGAGTTCCTGAAGAACTGGACGGATATCGATCTCGCCAACAACGACGCCGTCAAGGAGTTTATTGAGTACATCAGGCCGCCTATAGATCTTGGAGATCTCCAGCCCGGTGATACAGATCGATTGGAGAGGTTTGATAATGAGATATGTCCCCAGGTGAGGAGACTAAGAGATCAGCTTGAGTATGGGGATTGTTATGTTGTGGAGCTAGAGAGGGATGAGTTAGTAGATGAGGGGGTGAGTTGGTTGGACAAAGATATTGTTTGTGTGGTATTTGGGGTTATAAAGTATTCCATGAAGGGACCTCTTAACTGAACTGGGAGCGGATGGCATTATGGTTATTGCTTCGGGAACGCCGCGAAGTCCTTCCGAATTAAGGAAGGGTGTTGGAGGATTTCAGTGAAGAGGATCCTTATGGATTCACATTTTCTTGCTTTGAGGGATCAGGAGAGCTGGGAAATCGTTTTCATACCAGGAAAGGAATGAAGTTCTAACACAAAACACATCATCAGCAATTATCATCAACGAAGGAAGTCAGCGATGGATTCTATAGGGTAAAACGCATGTATACAGCAAAAAATGGAGTGCTTCACGATTAACCGTTGGGAAAAACGGATAATTGGAAGCCTTCTTTAGTGTGAGCAGCGCTGGTTTATTCAGATAACTCTCCGCTCACACATTCTTAGGTAGATGAAACATTGGAATGCGAATAAAATATTTTACAAAACTGTGTTGAGTTGAGTTCCAGTGATCGTTACGTCCAGCTTGACCTCCATCCCTCCACTCTGTCGCATCGACATGTGACCTGGCTGATGTGCTCCTTCCTCGTCTTAATATAATATACAAGACCTGACTATGGGCGTCTGCAACTACCACGATCGGGGTCTACATAAAGGAAGGCAGTGCTGTGACTCGTCCGAGTACAAACCCGCCCTCTTTGCGTCCTGAAAAAGATTCCTATTTTGTTCCTCCCAAATCACACTTGTTGTCTCACCTTTTGAACACCAAATTATTATAGCATGACTAAAAAGATGTAGAAGTACTAGTAGAAATACAAATGAGTTACTTCGGAGTCTACTAGTATTTTTTATATGTTTTTCAGAATCTTTTTTTAGTAAGAAACTTATTGTTCAAAACAATGTCTCCTCAATACGAATTCGGAAGTTTTTCCAGAACAGGAAGAGCCGCCCCACCCCCCTTGTCCCTAACAGTTGCATCAAATCTTGTAATATCCCAACAAGCTACCCAAAACACGTAAAGAAGATGAAGAGACTTTACCTAGATATTTACAGCTTTTTCGTCTGAGACCACTCCCTTTCTTCACGCAAGGGCTATGAAGTGCTTCGTTGAAACTGAAAACCTTCCTGTATCATAAGATTACGAAAGGCCCACAGACTTTTATCGCTTTACAATTCAAGAAATCAACTCGGGTATTCCAACCAACTGGCTAACTGACTGGCACAATTAAACCATCCAAGACCAAACAAAAAACCTAACAAGTCCAAAAGAGAGATATCCACCAACCAAACAAAATTCCTCCCAACAAACACAATATATACCGCTAAGTAACTCCAATCCACACCCTCAATCCACATAAAACTGCTTACCCACCCCACCCATCGGACCGCCTCCCATCCTCCCAAATTCCCACTCCGACCCATCACCCTTCACCGATCCCACTGGAGAAACAGGACTAACCAAATCAACCTTACTACTCACACTATCGAACACCCTATCCCCTCCCTCCCCCCTCGAACTCCGACTCGAGGCCAAATCACTAGATTCACCCCCCTCATCCAAATCGCTTATCGCGGACACCATACTCTTCCTCTCCGAAATAGGACGTGGCGGACGCGGGAATCGATCCATGTCACCTAACCCGGATGATGTCACGGAGCCGGCGAGGGTGATTGAGCCGTTGGAGGGGGATTCGGAGGCGCGCTTGAAGGTTGTGAAGTGGGTGTGGAGCGGAGAGAGGAGTTTGGTGTTGAACGACTTGCGGAATTCGCGGGATGGGACGGTTTTCTTGGGTCTTGTGATGGGGCCTAGTTCGAGGTCTGGGTCTTGGTCTTTGTCGGTGGAGGAGTGGGAGGGAGAGGAATGGGAGGACTCGTCGGTGGTGAGACGGTTGGATGTTGAGTGGAAGGTTGAGAAGATTTTGCCTTTGAGGATGGTTGGGAGGTAGACTGTGAAGAAGAGCTTGCTGGCTGGGATAGAGGCGCATATCTAGATTCCGTAAGTTAGTTGTTGCCTCTTTCTCCCAGAGTCGCTGGAGTTAAGCGAGAGCGAGAACGAGAAAGAGGAAGGAGGAGTCTTACAATGCCAACATAGAGCTCTAAACTACTACTCCAGAGAACTGGCAGTCCGTACCATGATGCATCGTGGTTTGTGGTTATTTCCCATGTGAAATATGTTCTCACGGCTCCTGCTGCCGTCACGAGTCCACCAGCTGCGAATAGTGCGATCACTACAACGTGTTGACGCCTAGGAAGCTGGAGATTTGCGATTGTTGGGATGGGGAGAAGCACAGTGATGAGATCGGAAACAGTGTTGATTATACCGGCAGCAAGGAGGTTAGCAGGCTGATTGATACAATTGTGCTGTGGCCCGAAGTGCAGGGCCCAGTAATCAGAAATCGGACTGTCCAATTCGTCAGCATCAATCAGTTACCTCTGATGAAATAGGCTTAATAGCAATAGCGACTTACTGGCATTGGAAGACAACCATGAAGCAATACAGAAGTGATTGCACCACAAAAACAACCATCGCGCCCAAAACGAGCTTCGGAAAGTACCCCTTTCTTTTGGATACAATGCGATAAACCAGTGTGAGCATCGAGCATTTTGTGGGTGTACTCGAAAGACTGAAAAATATTTGGAGAGCGATGAATGACTTCAGACCAGCCACAACCGGAGGCACTGGAACATCCCATTTGAAATATGTCTGTTCCAGTGGAATTTCAGATCCACGAGTAGCGAAATAGCCATGAAGCCAGTGGTGGGGAACTATCATGGTCAGCACTTCATACGTACCACAATTTCGAGAGCAAAAGAGCAAGAGATGGAGAGAAAGCATACAGGAGCAGCAATAATCAACCAATCATCCACCCCAAAACTCCTCGAAATCCGCAATCTGGTAAAGATGCGTATCCCAACAATCACAAGCACCAACGGAAATACCAAGATGATGATGATTCTATGCTCCCAACCCCGAGTCACAGGATCGACATAGTTCGGCTAGGGCCATGATTGCAAGACTTCTAAAGGTGGGAGTTGCATCTTGACTTCGCTTGCCTTCGCTTAATTTATCTTGTATACATAAAAGTCGAAGATTCGAGTTCAGTGTGAGGCCACAAAGTGATCCATCCATCGCCACATTGTTCAACGGGAGACATCTCATATAACAATAAAACCACTTTCATATTCAAGTCCCCAGAAAGACCCACAAACGCCATCCGGAGGTCCAGTGGTCTATGCTCAGACTAGCTGCCGAGCACTACGTTCGGACGACAGACAGACGGGTATCTAAAGAAGTGACCACTTAGAAGCTGTCATTTCTCCAAAGAAAATCCAGCGAGGCAAGCGCTTTGCGAATTTGCAGACATGAGACTGGTCATCGTCCTTCAATTTTTCAATATCAAACATAAACCCAGCCTTTAGTACGAAGAAAAAAAAAAGATCCAAGACCAAGACCCATGTCTCCCCAGAAAAAGCAAATCCTGGACGCGGATCACGTAGATCCCTTGCCCCATCCAAACGGAGGCCTCTCCGTATTTACGTACAGACCTTTTTTTACGACTGAGAGATATGGATGTGCCCTGAACGGCAACTCCTAAACGTATCCGTCCTTTTTATATCTTGGGTGTTCCCACGCCATCGGGAGATTGATGTGGGTTCGCAGCGCTGCACTACTGTAAGTCTTACTTTCATCCTGTCCCTCCTATCCTTTCCCCCCGTCCGCGAGAACAGCGATGATGCTGGAACGAAACCTGCCAGTTCCACTTCCAGTCAGCAAGAACATCTACTCTAGAGGCTGCGAAAGAAAACATCCAGAAGATGTGTAAATTTCTTTCCCTAAATCAAGAATGCGACATCCTCAGGACAAAATGACGTTCGCACGCGATTGGCGCGACTACCAGAAGATGCCGTGTCGAAAAGAAAAAACGAATATTTTTTTCCAGGTATACAGTAGTATCATCTCCCCCATTTTTCAGGGCCGTGGTGTCATTTTCCCATCAAAAGTAACCTTACTCGTACAGCACTAGACGGACAGCTGTACTCGTACTCGAGTACAAGACAGGTACCGAGATGCCGAGCTGCAAAACCGTTGGATGTCTCGGTCCGAGACTGAGGATATGGATATGGTACGGTAGGGCAGGGCAGGGCGGCAGGGCAAACGGATCCTGTTTTGCCTCCGACGAACCTATCCGTCATTTTGGCATCTGAGTCTGTGGTCTGAGCACCCTGATAATGCGGGTTAAGATGTAAGAGATGTGAGAGGGGGGAAAGGGATCGGGATTTTCTGTGCGCTGTACGTGAAGAAGTTCGTTTCAATAGTTTCCACAAGCTAAAGTAGACGTATGTCTCCCGATCTGGGTTCTGTGTTTAGCTTACTACTTACGTACCAACCAAGTATATGTAGTAAGGAAGCAAGTCACTCACTACCCACTCTGATTGCTAGGTACCAGTGTACTACAGTAAACTAGATCAGAAGATAGAACTAACTACCGGCCCATGAATTCCGAGTTGAGTACTACAGCAAAAGCCCGACCTAGATTCGACCCGTCAATCACTTCTACCTTGAACGCAAAATTCTCTCCAAACGGGGGTTGTGCGCAAGCCCCCCTCTCCTCCCAAAAAGAGAAAAAAAGAAAAAAAGAGGTTAGTTCCCGTCCCGAAGTCTTCATACCGCAAACGACGATAGATGATGCGGCGAACCACTTCCCCGGACGCACATACCTCCTCTAACGTAACGCTCTACGGTATGTGTACTACTACGTACCGCTGCATGTATCTCGATTTCTAGCTCGCCCGTCCGTTAGGTCCTTGGAGAGAACAAGAGAAGGAGTGATATCAACATGATTATGAACAGGAGCGTGAACGTGAATGTGAACCGTACTGCACGTGGAGATCATACAGGACCCCTCATTCCGGTCCGTGGACTTGCAGTAAGTAAGATCTTACATCACACCACCCCTCATCAACACAGCACTCTCCATGGGGAGAAAGGGAAAAATCAAGGAGGGAAACAGAGAAAAATGAACCGTAGATTACGAAGGTGTTCACTCGCTCAAAAAACAATTTAGTTACCCCTTCTCATCCATCTGTGACCGTAGAGTAGCTATGTAATCCTACCTACAGTACCTAGGGACCTCAAATCAGACGAGCAGGACGGAGATTAAGGCAATGTCAATGCAAACACATACAAACACCCCCTCTCCCTCATTTTTCCTCCCCACCCCTCCCCATCCATCCGTAATAAAACCTAGAGATAAGAGGAGCGCGAAATGAAAAAGAATGATACATGAATGAAGTATAGCAAATAGAATAGACTGAAAAGAGTAATCAGAGAAAAAAACTAGGAAAGAGAAAAATATCCGTCTACCTACACACCCACCTCTTACACATTCTCTAACACCACTCCTCATACGCTCTACTTCACAGCTTACAACTTCACCCATCCACGTATTTCCCCATAGGGTCAAGTGAGATATATACTGTAGATGGTAGAGGATCCAAACACCAAACAAAACAAACAGAAAAATGGAAATACAACCTATACGAAGGAGAATAGAAAGAATAAGAAAAGAGGAATATAGTTCTACCTACCTCCCAACTCTCTGCTCAAAAAAAAAAAAGGAAGGGCTGACTGCGATTCTGCGAATATCAGGATATCTCTCTGTACCTAACTACGGTAGCTAACCAAATCAAGCACGATACTGTAAAAGGACGGGAAAAAGCGAAGAAGAACCCACCCGCCTAATAAAACAACAAAAAAGAAAATGCAAAAGAAAAACTGCCCACAAGGTACAATTACATCCCTCTCGCTTTTCGTCCACCTTCCATTAGCATACCACCTCTCCAATCCCCACCAACTATCCAACACGCCACCCCTTCCCCCAGAATCATTGGTGCCCCCTCACACTCTCCCCCCTCACACTCCCAGCAGAAGCAGCATACTTCCTACTCTGCGGCCGCTGAGGCACCCCACTATACACCAACCTTGGCACCGTCATGCCATACAACTCCGTCTTCCCCTCGGCATCATGTTGATCACACTCGACCCGAATGCAAACATCCAGACTTCCATCCCTTTCTTTCCCATGGACCTCCATATTTGCCGCCTTATGCGCCGTCCCTGCATTCACTTCCCCCGTGTGAAGCCATGAATGCCCATCTTTGACATTTTTTATTACGGAGACGGGGACGGAGGTTTCTTCTGTGGAGGCGGCGACTTCGGACCCAGTTACTGCGTTGCCGTTGGCGTTTCCGTTGACATTTAGATGGCTGTTTTCTTGTGGGGTGGTGGTGCCGTGAGAGCTGTTTTCTGTGATCATGGCCCAGTTGCGACTTGGCATCGTGACCTGGTTTGAGTTGGCGGTTTTGTTGGATTGACCTGGGTCTTTGTTGAAGAATTTCATTAATGTCTCATCTGTGCTGTGATCCAGATGATGCAGTTTGTTTCTTCGTGCTAGGAGATTTGCGACTGCTTGAGGAGGAGGCTTGTTGACGATGGCGGAGGAAATGATGTTTACCATGTATCGGTGATCGTTCGAGATGGGAATATTGAGTTTGGGGTTCGAGTAGAAGCGACCAACAGCTGCAAGATGGACATCGCCACCGAGGATACTGATACGGACTGAGAATTCGGACGCGAGCTCTTGCAGTCTGTGAACGAGCATTTGACGTTCTCTCTTGTGTGTTCTTGCTGTGTAATGGTCATCGAGATCGTCCAGCAAGTCGACACTGCCATCGAAGTGATTGAAAAATCCACCACCTAGATATAATTAGTCAAAGCAGATTTCTTGAGACCAAAAAACCAACCAAATCCGAATCTCTTATTGAGAAATTTTATGGGGGCAATCAATGGACTAGAGAATATGTTTTCCAGCCATGTCAGGCGCTATATTGCGTTAGACGATTATCAGCAGAATAACAAGGTTGAGACTTACTGGATAGGCTATGGGAATGCCTAGCAGGACGATTAGATGCTGGATAGGTGTTGAAGTCTCTTTTGCAGCTCCAAGCTCTTGACGAAGTCTATCAACAATAATCTCATATGTCTCGGGATAGTTGACTTGATGCCGAGTTCGCTAATTATGTCAAAAGATGAATGACCAAACGGACGGACATTGCTTACCTCGGTTCTAGCATCAATACCGAAAAAAGCGATTCTTGCTCCAAGTCTAGCATAAATACTTCGGGAATGGTCCACGACGTAAGGCTGATTTAATATGAGCTTATGGGAAAACATCAAACGGAATATGACTTACCCCTGGCTTGCTACCAATTATGTAACTGGAGTCAATAGTCTTTTCTTCTAGAACAAACGTATTTTCGAGTTGTCTGGGGTCAAGACCGACTCCCTCGAGTCCAGTGGTTTGTGGAGCGTCTGTCTGAGGTTAGCTGCATATTTTGAACCATTGGCAACCTATAGCTTACCAGTTGTGTACGTGGAAGGTGGGGGCGCAAGATGATGTTGAAAGAGAAGGTAATATTTGTTCGCTACACCACCAATGCCTCTGAAAACTGGACATCTCATAAATTCATCAACATAAGAACCGAAGCCGTCAATGATATCGTGATCATCCCATAAATTGAGCTGCGCGATTTGGCCATTTGCCGTTGCGAATGGCTCTGTTCCGTACCATCTGATATAATTATTGACGTAGTATTCATCACAGTCTTTTCTCAATGACTCTGGAAATGGAAATTCTCTTCTCTTTTTAGGGTTACCAATATCAGTCCAAGGTCGCAAGGGTCCATTTACACGAATCCCATCATTGTAAATTTGATCCCCCCCTCCTAGCATGACATGAAACGGAGTCACCTTGTGAACTCGGTTAACATCGTTCCAGAGACATGGCCCACTCCATGCATCTTCGTCAGTTCCCACGCTGAAGCCATTGCAAGAATGAAACATGATTCTCATGGACTCGGTAATTGCTGGTATGAAAAAGGTCTGTTTGTCCGTTTTCTTACCCTGTGTGAAGTTGAGAGCAGAAATTGTGTACTCGCATTCGATTTCTGACTCTTGCATAGGTACCACCAAATCAAATCTCCAGAACGTGTTTTTGTGGTCAGAGTACAATCTTGTTCCATTGACAAGTGCTTTCCATTGCTGATTATGCCCATTACTTGGCCCATTAGAGAATGATTGTCCATTCGTGGGACGACCGTCGGTAGGTGTATTGAAGCTGCCGTAATCCACTCCATTGACCACCGCATTCTCATTATTTGCGCCAGCATTTCCCCCAGAGGTTGCCGCAGGTATTTCAAATCTCCCTAGCGACCCACCAGGCGACCGAGTTCCAACGATTTTGACAGTCAATTGAGGAGTGACTAGACTTTCGGCAGAGCCTCCACCCTTCGTTACAACCAACACGCTCCCAAACCATGTATTATCCTCCATGCGCCTATAGTTCAGCAATGGGCCACACTTGACTTCCAGCGTCGTGTTATGTCCTTGCGCAACGCTCTCTCCTGGAGGCCCTAGCCTCTGCGCGCTCGAATTTTGTACACCATTTTCGTGGGGAACATTTCCAGCAACCATAATAGGTTGGTGTTTCCCGGGCGATGGAGGCTTTCCAGACTGGGAGGGTTCGATTCTTTGCGAGTTTAAGAATTCTGTGAGATCTCTCGAGTCGCCTCGCACATCGGCTTCACGCGGGGTGACAGTTGCATGGCGAAGGAAAGCTGAAGATTCCTGATGTCTCCAACGTGTCTGCGAGGCGTGGGTATCTGGGTGGTCGGAGCCGTGGAGCACATTATCAGCGTAATGCGCGGCCATGATGAGGGTCAAATTGGGCGGGAAGTGAGAGGAGGGAAGTGGAAGTGGGCGCGCTGGAGTAAAGTAGTTGTATGCGCAATGGGTGGTTTTTAAAATGAAGGCAAAGTATCCGTCAACTTGTGGCTTAGTCGGGTGGGTGTTGTGTTGGCGATCGTCGCAGCAGATGTCAGGACGAGTCTACAAGTACGGCGCAAGGGATGTACTCAGTACCTGGATAGATAGATGTGTATGTGCCACAAACAAGAGTCCTGGAGTACTCTGACTGTACTCTATCCAAACAGCAGAAGGACGGCAATTCCTACTAGTACTTGTACGCGCAGTGAATTCCCATACGCCACCAGATATACTTGGTAGACTAGCTCACTACCTAGCTATGTACTGTACGGAGGTACTCGAGTACATGAATTTTAAAGTTCTACGCGGGCGAAAGCTTGGTGGCAGGAAGCACTAGCAAGCACCTACAAAAATCAAGAAATGCCATCAGCCAAGCAGCCAAGCCTGCGAAATGATCAGTTGATAGTGGAGAGTTGCGCTATCTGCGCTGCGAGTTTCTGCATCGACTACTTGCTACCCAGTAACTACCAAGTAACTACCCAGTCGGTGGGCAAATTCAAGTGACCTGGTTGGCTGAACCGCGAATTAATGCAGGGTGCAGGTAGCAGCAGGGTAAGCTCCCCGAGAACAAATCCCACTTGGAGCTGAATCGGGCAAATCCTTTCGATTACTTTACCGACGAACCAGCTGATAAAGTAAACAAATTTGTAGATGAGCGAGTAAGGATATTGTAGATACCTAAAAGCCCAATTCGATCGGAGAAGAACTCAGTCAAGATACCGAGTATGTTCTACTTTTCTACTAGAGAATGGGGAATGCGGCTACTCGAGAAAGTCTATGCGCGACACAGGCTGCATGATACATGTAGAGAGAGCCACAGTAAACAGTAAACACTGACAACATTGGGAGAAATGATGGTGAAGTGAAAGGATCTGTCTTGCCCAGCTCGCTGTGGCCATATTTGGGAATAGTGGTTACAATCATAGGATCTAACTATGGGTTCAGGCTTGAACAACATATAAGACATTAACTGCAGTGTTAAGAGGTACTGCAGTTCACACCGACTCGGTAGACTATTGTTCAGGGTCTCGTCATGCCTTCCGCACCACAACATCCAGATATTGATACCACCATGTCTTTCATATTCGTGTACCATTGGGCACGTTTTCTAGGGAACATTTCCTCGGACACGGTATTCTAGAAACGTGCGAGAAACCGCTCTTTCTGAATTTAGCGTTTTCCACTTTCCCATACCCCTTCCCTGGAATGATAGTAGCTGGAAACTCAAGGAATGATCCAAGTATCAGTTTGCAGTGGTCTTGTGTTGAGAAGTTCTTGTTGATTCGTAAATGTAGCCATTAACATAGGTATAATACATCGTCAATACCCTTAGGTAGCCCTCCGCTGGAATGAGGTGACGTGTAACCTGTCTACTTCCAGTAGTACAGCCGCGTTGCCCAAAGTTTTGTTTGCGCCGATTCGATGACTGAATGACCCCCCAAATTTCCGAAATGAAATCTACACAACTCGCTTGACCTATCAAGGCAAAATCAATCGCCCATTCAGTACCCATAACGGTAGGATTTGTTCTTGCCTACCTCGAAGAATCTCTTCAACCACCAAACTTGGAATATTCCTTCAGCGACCAAGACAACCATCTGGAAAATACTCCACCACTTGACTCTACCGTTGGTGCTCTCTGCGGTGTTTCGATGCGTTCGTTCTCGGACCACGATGTATGATTGTTCGTCCTTGACTTGGGAAAGAAGATCGGAGAGTTGTCGAACTAGCAGAAGAGTTAGTGAAAATGTAGTTGACATTGTCATAATGATTTGACTTACCCTCCGCCTCTAATGGATCTGATGGTGCCTCCGATTCAGGAACATAGACGATACCGTGAACATTGAACGAAACATCCTTGCTAGATGCCGACCAATGCTCATTACTGAAGCAGTATACGTATTTGCCATCATGGGCTGCGGTGAAAGAATGATCTCCGTTTGCTACTGATCGCTCATGGGTTTCGAAGCCCTTTTCGGGGTTCTCAATCTACATCAACCAGTTAGTAAATAGAAAAAAAATCAATTACATGGTCTACCCACCCAGAAATCAATATCCAAGTTCCCAGCACTTCCAAATTCTCTATCCCCAACTTGAAATGTTACGGTCATCCGGTCATCCTTGTGGAGGCTCTCATGGAAACATTCTCTTCCATGCGCTGCAAGCTGGATATTGTGTGCAAGTGCAGCGCCCAGCAAACTGCTGGCTGCAAGGAAAATGGAACTGGAAAATCGCATATTTGGCAGGCAATAATTAGGCAGGTATATGATTTTGTGAGTCACAACCCAGTTGAGAACGTAGGGGAGGATGCGGGCCTGTGGTGTTGTAAATATCGTAAATCGGAGTCGTCGTTGTCGTAGTGAAAGCCAGGCTGTCCAGATCCCTCTTATTGACACCAAAAAAGGGACTGTCAAGGCTGAATTGAGTCGCGCCGGGTTGTGGCTCGTGCTCTGATAGGCTTAGCGTGGGCTAGCCTTGAAAGCCCACTCAAGAACATCGCTGTCCTTCTCAACACCATCTTACCGACTATCACACTCCTCGCTAATAACATCTTGAACATCTCCGACGGGTCATTGTCGACCTCAACACCAGACTGTAAGTCAATCTCGGATCATCACCTGTCACCTAGTCGTCATTTCGGGGCTCTTTGTCGTTCGGAAGGGGGACGTGGCGCGCGCAACGTTGCCTAGAGACAGACCTCCAGGACGACAAGACCTCTATTGCTTCCATGGCAGCCTGTCTCCTCCCAGCATCAATCTGACTCTGGCGGATCCGTGTATCTGTCCTCTCTCAAGGGCAGCATATAATCTTTCTGTGCCTGCTTATCGTTCTGCGAGTGCCATGCTGATTGATTGCTATCCTAACAGAATCGTCCTTCGCAAGAGCGAATCCCACATCACCACCCTCTACACCACACACACAAACCACAAACCACAATCATGGGTCTCACATTTTCAAAGCTCTTTGACCGACTCTGGGGAAAGAAAGAGATGAGAATTCTGATGGTTGGTTTGGATGCCGCCGGAAAGACCACGATTTTGTACAAGCTCAAGCTCGGTGAAATCGTCACTACCATCCCAACAATCGGTATGACCACCCTCCCACCCGAGTCAGCCCATCGAGATTCTCGTTATTGACACAATGCCTAGGTTTCAACGTCGAGACTGTCGAATACAAAAACATTCAATTCACTGTATGGGATGTTGGTGGACAAGATAAGATTAGACCTCTATGGAGACATTACTTCCAGAACACACAAGGTATCATCTTCGTTGTTGACAGCAACGATCGTGATCGTGTTGTTGAGGCCAGAGAGGAGTTGCAACGCATGTTAAACGAGGACGAGCTCAGAGATGCCATTCTTTTGGTTTTCGCCAACAAGCAGGATCTTCCAGTACGCCTCCCACCTAATCACCGACAATGGTCTTTGTGCTAACCAAGTCTTTAGAATGCCATGAACGCCGCCGAGATCACAGATAAGTTGGGTCTTCACAGCTTGAGACAACGTGCATGGGTAGGTTAGCCCCTGAGTCTTGACGTGCTCGAGCATATAACTAATCAACTTACAGTACATTCAATCCACTTGTGCCACAACCGGAGATGGTCTGTATGAAGGTTTGGAGTGGCTCGCAAGCTCTCTCCGAAAGGCTGGTCATCAGTAAATTTGGCATACTCTCAACAATCCAGTCACAATTTGTCTCGAGATTCCCCCAGACCCAAAAAACCAAAACGTCCATATCACAAACCTCTCCTCCATATCAACCATCGGTGCTCTATCTCATCTATTCATGTCTCTTTCAGCAGTCCACGTTCACATGAGAGGCGCAAAGGGTGATTTTTGTACGATGACATTAAAAGGCTCTCTGTGGCTCCCCCTGACTCTCTGTATTTGGCCTCAGAGGTCGGGTGGAGGTCAAGGGAGCTTTTTTTCCTCTTTTTTATTTTTCACGCGCGTCACGGCCTCCTTTTTCTACGTCTGGCCTTGCAATCTTGTGTTTCAGCATGGTATAAAAAGCAGACGATAGATGGAGGATCATGGTAGTCAGTCTAGTCACAAATTGATCTTACATTAGAAAATATTCTGCATTCTCCTTTTTGATATTTTTCCTTTGAAGTTTGCACTACCAAACCCATCGGAGGTAAGCGGTGGCGGTGTGGCGAAGAATAAGCCGAGGGGCCGGCGATCAAGCAATGAGGCTAGGTTTGAGGGTGAATGTTGAGCATCACCATTTGACGACTACGTATAAGTTGAAGCTCGAAGATCGAACAGGCGTATTCGATAAGTATCGAGAGCCCATTCGTTATCTCGTTCGCTCTACGGCCATTGGGTTTAAAGGTAACATCGCTCCACACCAAAGCCTCTGATAAAGCACTCTCTATCTCCCTGGAATACTCCAGGAAAAAACTTGATCGCAGACTAGACTAGATAGCAAGTGCAATACTGGTACTTTAAGCAAATCCGAATTGGCACTTTTACTGTACTGTATTTGCCAAGGTGTCATTTTTTCCTGAACCACCGTTGAACGTGCTGAATGCGGGGTGGGAAGGGGGGGGACGGTAAAATCTTAGGGGAACGAGTTTTGAGGTTTTGAGGTTCTCTCTTTTGGTGGAGGGGGAGAGGAGGGGGATTTTTGGATTGAAGAGTGAAAAGGGTCTTGGATTTTTGTGTTGTGTTGTGTTGTGTTGCGAGGGTTTAGGTAGGTCTGGACTGGGCTGGATTGGAGTCGAGGGGAGGGGAGGGGATGGACCTTGGGCTTTTGAAGGACCTTGCCAGTTCGGTTGTGGTATTGTAATCTTGTAGGAGATAGGTTGGTGCGATTGATGACATGGCGGGGTAGGTTGGTAGGTAGGTAGGTGAGGCAATCTGGTTTCCTAAAGTCGTTGAGACGATATTCTACTCGTACCTCGCATATCGTCAGAGAGGGACTCTCAAACTAGGATTATAGGTGAGGTGTTTGGATCTAAACTCCTGGGGTGGTTACTGGTTACTGGTTACTTGAGTGCTGAGTCTTTATGGTTCGTGTTTTGAGGTTTGAGGGCTTGGATGGTTTGCTGAGGTACTGTATATTATAATATAAAGGAAAGAAGTTAAGGGGGAATATTTAGTTGTGGTATCCCATATCGGATCTATTCATTTTTTATTCTTACATCTATTTCTATTTCCTCCGTCCTCCTCCCGTCATCCTCTTTCGATCATTCTCGACTAACAAACCATCACCATCTAAGGACTAGAAAACTTATACCCATAAGCCTTCTTCGCCTCTTCCAGCACCTCCTTTACCTTCGCCTCCGCCTCCTTGAAGTCCTCCTCACTCTCTAACCGCTTCTCATGGGGCGCGTTGTGGAAGTTGCCTAGAGAAGGGACGGCCAGCCCCGCTTGTACGGCTGGACGGTCGTTGATGGATTTCCACCACCGGTGGACGTGTGGGAATTGCGTGGAGAGTGTGATGCCGGACATGTAGGAGAAGTTTACCCAGGAGAAGGATGCGATGTCTGTGGGGAGGGTGTGAGTATAATTTGGAGAGGTGGGAGAAGGGGGATAGGGATAAGTAAGATTTACCGGCTATGGAATATTTTCCTCGACCTGGACCGACGAGGTAGTCTCGTGAGGCGAGTTGGGTGTTGAGGATTCCGTAGAGACGCTCGGTTTCTCCTACGTAGCGTTGGATTGGGTATTGAATTTTTTCTTTGGTGAAGCGGAGGAAGTGGTTTGCTTGGCCTTGCATTGGGCCCTGGGGTTTGTGTTAGCTTTTGATCGTTGTATTTGGATGTGTGAGTAGAATGAGGGGGTGGATGAGGACTCTCTGGTTTTGTAAGAGAAAGGGGATAGAGAAGGCAAGCTGGGAAATAAGCGAAATGTTGAGAGGTAAGGTACTCATTGCTTCAAGATAGAAATTTTGGAGTAAGTGTCAAGTGACATAGCCCAAGAGACTTGTGACTTGATTTGGCAAAAGTATGAAGCTCAATTATCCTAAAAGCTCGCATAACCAAATTGATTATACGCGACTGTTTAGAATAACGTTCGATTTCTTGAATTGAGTAATGTCCAGAATTGATTAGTTTCCTAACCGCAAAGCAGAAAGAAACCCCCAAGCTTAGTCCAAAAGGAGAAGAAAAACAACCTACCAAACCACCATGCTGCCAAGCAACCCACTGCTCAACCCGACTCTTCTCATCCCCATCCTTAAAATGAAAAACATAATCCCCATCATAATGTCTCGTCAAATAAGCCAAAATCGCCGCTCCCTCAAAGACACTGAATCCATTCCTATCATGGTCAACAATAGCAGGGATTCGACCATTGGGCGAGAAAGCAGTGAACCAAGGCTCCTTTTGGATGTTCTCCATGATGTTGATGCTTTGCACGGTGTATGGTTTGTTGTACTGGGCCTTTAGTTCTTCCAGTAGGATGGAGATTTTGTGCCCATTGGGGGTGCCGAAGGTCAGGAGTTCGATTCCTGAGGTGGCAATGAGGCCTGTTGGGCGGGATGGGATGGACATGGTGCGTTTGAGTACTGGTGATGGGATTTTGGGCGTGTGTTTTGGTTTGAGATGGTGGTGGAGATGGGAGAATCTCTGGAGAGGTCTGGAGGGGTTGAACATGAGTGAGGGGAAGAAGGAGATTCTTCGGTCAATTGGGAAGCTTCTTATAGGTGATTTGGAGGGGTTCGTTCTTGGGATGGTGGAGCTTTGCTTGGGTGTGGTTACACTTGTTGATGTGATTTGAGGCGGTTGATTGGGTGATTGGAAATCAGTTTGGCTTTTCTTATGTTAGGGGCTCATTACAGCTGGGACTGTGGGGTGGATTTGTCATGATGTAATTGTTGAGGTTTCGGTCCCTCGGCGGAGCTAAGTATATATATTTGAGAGGGGATTCCTTCATGGTGAACAAGGTGAGAGAGGATATGGGAAATGTATTTGCAACAAGTACGTATCTGTATGTTGTTTGGATGACTTTAATTGGCTTATGTAGGTACAAAGTACGAAGATTATCCAACGAGCCAACTCTCACTTTGGAGGTATTGTCTTACTCGAGTAGAGCTTCCTAGCTCTTTCTCGAGCAATCAGGTCAATTGGTTAACATGTCACTAATTGATTATATAGAAACATGACTGGTTCTCTTGAATCCATTCATATTCAGCATCCTCCCAAAGGTTCCAAGGTTCTCTTCATTCCAATTCATTCAGTCGTCCATAAGTCAGTCTCCTACCTGGAGCCGGGACATCGAGTTTGGCCGACTCCGATTACACCACGCTGGAGTAAAGAGCCCCATAATTTGTGGAACCCTGTACACAAGGACTTCAGCCCAAGATCTCTTAACTCCGTCTTTGCTCCAGAGGTATCGCATTCGCATATCACTTCCACCTAAGAATCCAAGCCGTAAGCCTGTTGACAGCTTTCCTTTACTATTAGGTACGGAGTACTGAGTACTTGGTCCTTTAAATCCGTGAGACTCAAAAAGCGCTCTCTTTCCCATTTCTTTTCTATTTCCTTTTGTCATGCGGGCATTTTTTAGCAGTCTTCTCCGGCGCAAACACAAACCCCCCACCCCCACCCACAACCATACAAAAAGAGCAATGTCCAATGGAATGGCGGCTGCAATGGCTTATGCTTGTACCATGACTCCTCCTAGTGCGCTGGGAGCTGTTCCGGAGGAGTCGAAAGAAAAGGCGCATCATTTGAAAGATGGGAAGGGATTTAGGAATCCGTGGCCGAGTTGGGTTGATCAGTCCCCGATCAAAATAACTAGTGCTATGGCCTGGTATGTTCTGCCCTTTCCTACATTTTTTTGCTGGAAAAAACTTCTGGATTTATATGATATTTTGAGTTTGTTCAAAATTCCGGAAGATCTGGGTACATGTTTGCGGGCGTAGAAAAAACTCAATGAGCCGTAGAGTGATGCTGACATCCCCAAGGCGCGCAATAACTGGAAACCTCAAATGGCCCGACACCACCCCTCCAACAGTCAAAGTCATAAAACCAGACTTTCTCCCCTCTCGAACTGCTTCTACCTCCCTTCGGGCAACGTGGCTCGGCCATGCATGCTACTACGTCGAATTCCCCGGTGGTCTTCGAGTCCTCTTCGACCCGGTATTTGAAGAACGTTGTTCCCCCTCCTCCCATATAGGACCTAAACGCTACACCGAAATCCCCTGCATGATCAAAGACCTTCCCGTCGTCGACGTAGTGGTAATCAGTCACTCACACTACGACCATCTCTCCCATCCCACCATTCTCGAACTCCATAAACACCATCCAAATGCGCAATTCGTGGTCGGACTAGGGCTCAAGAAATGGTTCATAAACAGTGGGGTAAAAAATGTACAGGAGATGGATTGGTGGCAAGACGCAGATCTCACGCTGTCCCCTGAATCAGGCGAGAACAGGCTATCTACTACTTCTTCCCAGGATCCAGCGACTGGAACAAACTCCACAGATATCAAAGCAAGAGTTTCCTGTCTTCCCTGCCAACACACCTCCAACCGCAGTGCCTTTGACCGCAACGTGACCCTCTGGTGCTCCTGGGCCGTTTCCTCGGGCGGGAAATCCGTCTGGTTCGGAGGCGACACAGGATATCGATCCGTACCCGAAGTCCCAGCAGGAGAAGACGATTACGGACCAAAATACGCCAATCTCCCATCCTGTCCCGCCTTCAAGGAGATCGGGAACCTGAGAGGACCATTTGATCTAGGTCTCATCCCGATAGGTGCTTACGATCCAAGACATATCATGAGTCCTATGCATGCGAATCCGTTCGATAGCGTGAATATCTTTGTCGATACGAAGTGTAAGAAGGCGATGGGCATTCATTGGGGGACTTGGGTGCTTACTACTGAAGATGTGCTTGAGCCGCCGATTTTGTTGAGGGAGGCGATGAGGAAGAAGGGATTGGAGGAGAGGGGGGTGTTTGATGTTTGTGATATTGGAGAGAGTAGGGAGTTTTGAATTAGCGAAGGATTTATGATTAGTTAAGTGGTGGGCTGGTTGGAGTTAGGGGTTGGATTTAGATGGATTTGAGAGGATGTAGGAAATAGCTCCTTTCTTATATTTCATGGTTGCTCTTAGATAATACCCTCCTTTCCATTGTTATCTATATTTCTGTTGACCTCGAACCTATCCCTGGACAGGGATTGTATTTTACAAACTTCCATCCCACCCCTTCCTCGCCCCTAAGCGAAAATATTAGAAACCAGAAATTTTCTCCACATTTACGAGAACTTCCTCCAACAACCGCTATACCACACAAGGATATTTGAAAACATGTATTCGGACTACTTCCATTCAACATTCCTTGCCGTCTTCTTTTCATTGTACTGTACTGTACTCCTACAGTGATACCGACGCATACATGACTCTTCTCCTACGTCCTGGCAGAAATGAGACACGATTCCTGAAAATAGATAGATAGACAGATATCATGCCGAACACAGCATCGCGACAACGTCGTACAGTACCACTTACCGTAGATATACTGAAATACTCTTCTCGTCCTCAATCCCCACAGCCCAGCCCCCATGATCTTCCCGGATCTTCCCTACAGTCAAGACTGGGAGGGAACGTTCTGCGAGCGTATGATTTGAGATTTGAGATTTGAGATTTGAGAGTGGAGAATTACTGTAACGTTAGCCTTAAGTAATACCTACCTATGTAAAAATACCTTCCCGGGGCCTCTCCCACGCCTCTAAAAACCTCCTCGCTTAATCCGCGTAGCATATTAGCGTCAACACACACAATCACAATTAGAAGTTTCACAGGAACCGGGAACTTGGAAGGAAGGAATACTATGTAGGAGCATCGGATATCCACAGGGAAAGAATACACAGGGCAAAGAAATATCTTTATTTCATGCCTCATCAATAATCCATTCCATTCCATTACGTCCAAGTCCTACGGACGAACCCACGCGCCAGAGAATCCCGAACACCCCCCTTTCCCCCATCCCCAGTTCATCTATACATCCATAACAAAATCCATCAATCGCTTAAGAGGGATATAAATATTCAGTGTCAATCAGTAGGTACGAAACCAAAGAAACACAAAAAAACGCCAGTCCCCCATATAAGGTATCCAAGGCTTGTGAAGACGCCTGTGGAAGGAAAGAAAGATTTACACAGAAGCCAAGAGAATCATCAACATCATCCACCAGACCGCAACGTGATCATCTCATCTCAATATCCTGGGTATCATCAAGCACCTCCTCATCACCACCAAGTTCCTGCTCCACCTCCTCAGAGACAAGCCCTTCGTAATCCTCGAGATTTTTCTGGATGTGGACCTTGAATTTGATTATGTCGTTCAACATCTTTTCAATCTCCGTGTGGAGTTCCTCACGAAGTGCATTTGCTCGGAGGGTAAGTTGTTCGTACCTGGGTATGTTAGTGGTATGTCAGCTATAGTGATTAAAGTGGCTTACTCAATATTTGTATTCATTTCTCTTTGCTCCATCAATTGAACGGATTCGGTGAGACCCGCTCGCATTTTTGCTAATTCCTTCTCCATCTTCTCGATTTGGGTGTCTGAGGCTAGTTTTTGTGTATGGGTGACCTATTTGATTCATTAGACCGATTTCGGGGTTTACTAAAGGTGTCAAACTAATCTTACCTCTTTGGTCTTCTCATACTCTTCTTCGGCAGCCCGTACTCGATGCTCGAGTGCCTCAACCTCACCTCGCTTATCTTCAATGGCTTCTTTGATGCCATCAAGTAGATCATGATGTTTCATCATTTCATCCATTGCAACAGTCCGTCTTTCGGATATTTCTTTTCTCAGATTCAAGAAACTAGCTTTCAACTGTCCACGAAGGTCCAGATTCAGTATATGAGCTGGTTGATATCCAGTAACTGGGTCTGCCAGCAATCTGTCGCTATCCGAGTTTCCATTGCGGGATGCACCCATTTGAGACGCAGAAAAGTCAGGACCTTCGTTGGCCATGACTTGAAGTTCGAAATTCTTGCCCTTGGCATTTGGAGCAGTCGAAGGGATTAAACCAATTTGGTATCCGAGACTGTTGTACTTTTCAACCATTCTCTCCAAATCATCCAGTTTTCGACTTGCCTCTCCTTCCTTCTCCAATACCTTTTTCTTCGCTTCCTCTAGTCTCAGGGATGTAGATTCAATGCCTTTCTGAAGCCGCTCTCTTTCAGAAGTCATTCGGTCAATATCTGCCATACTGATGCCCTGGTCGTCAACAGCCTTTTGCAAGCTTGCCCTTTCGTCATCGGCTTCTTTCAACTCAAGCATCATTTTGTCCAGCTCCTCTTGCAAAAACTGGATTCTTGCCTCGTATTTCTCAGATTTCTGATTCATACGGTTATCAAATTCCTCAAACTTGACCTTATCTTCCTCCATAATCTTGAAATTCCTGTCCAAAGTTGCAACGTCATTTCCTGCTTTTTCCAAGATCTCGATGTCTTTTTGTAGACGCAAATTTTCCGCTTCCAACATCTGTAATTGCTCTAGATATTTGGAATTGGACGCATCGAATTCTTCGGCCATCGCTTCGACATGGGGAGCGAGTAACCGATCCTGGTCATCATCTCCTGCTTCATCGTCCATCGACAGCCAGTCACGATATGCGCGGCTAAGAAAATCGAAAACAATTTTGTCTCCCGTAACATCAATACCGGCGTCCGCACATGCATTGTCGTATTGATTCGCCTTGTATCCATCCAGCATCTGCGCAAGTTGCATCATCCAGTGCAAAATTCCGAGAAAAAGATGCCAGGAGTTTTGTGATCCAACGGCAGCAAGTGAGCTCTTGGTGATACTTTTGTGGAACGGGTATCGCATCTGGGCCAAGATGGGTGGCACTTCTTGGTCTATACTCCGCTGGAATCTGTAGCTTGGATCGATCCGATGATAAAGCCATTGAAACATGTATACAAAATCCTTCTGAGTTGGCGATTTTATGGAGTTTTGTGACAGAGTATGCTTCATATCCATTTCAAAATTGTTTCCAGCCATATAATCCAAAAGCTCCTGACCAATCTTTGCCTGATATTGGCGATCTTTTAATGGCCGCGGATCTCGAGGTACTCCTGCTGGCGCTGGCGTCTGTTGAAAGAAGCTTTGATGGGGCGTGGGACCGCTCGATGAGGCTCTCGACCTGTATACACTACTTCTTCTTTGCTGTTCTGTCCCCTCAGTTGATGGCCGACCCATTCCCGTAGGCGCAAAACTCTTTCTACCGCCACTGTTCTGGAAGGATGATCGCTTGACTGAAGACATGCCTAAATCTGCCAGATTTGTTCCCGACGAGGATCTCGAGAATTGAGGTTGGCTTGGTCTAGGTGGGGCAAGTGATGCGCGCGACCCCGACACTGATTTTGCATGGCTGGCAGTGAACTGATTTGCTGACATGGAGTTTGATCGTTTTAATGCGGACGCTGGCTGAGGGAGGTTTGAGTTGAAGTTGATACCACCAAGGGTCTATGTACATATGAGTGTGTGTTCATGTTGTCGCGCATTTGCGCACTTTTGTATCAAAGGTTGTTAAAACTTACTTCTCGAGCTCGGCGCACCGAGAACATGCCCATGTCTTGCGACATCTTTTCTCTGTCGCGCAGCTTGCGACAAATTTATGTGCGAAAAATCGAGTGCACTATGTCGCTAATATGCCAAATGATATGTGTTGTGGTTATCAACTGAGATTGAGGCAAAGGTGGGTGTGTCGCTGCTTTGGGTGGAGTTTTTGTTGTGAGTCGATTGTTTACCCGCCCATACACTGATAGGGGGGCAAGGTAAACAAATGGATTAGCGCGATGCCAAGTCCTTATGGGTACGCGTCACATGACCCATACTTTTGCCTCGGCTCCTGCCACCATCTTTCTGCTCAAGTACACCGCGAGCCCTTCTAGCCCATACTGCTGGTCTGAATACTTTTAGAAGCGCCAACCAGTTCGCAGCTCCTCGCCTCCTCTACTTCGTATGCTCATAGTCGCATACTAGTTAGGTACAGGCGAAAATGGCCATCCGTGAGGATATCGTTGCGTCGGCGGTATGTTATTCCAACCCCTTCTTACCCGACGAACTCTGCTGATTTAGGATAGGTGACATGTGAGGATTCATCACAATCTACAGTTGTGCCAGCATTGCTAACAATCTTGTGTAGTTCTACAGGACCCAAGTGTTTCTGGGTCGCCGATAGAAAGCCGGATCGCCTTTCTCCAATCCAAAAATCTCACCCAAGAGGAAGTTGATACAGCACTGGCAAGAGCAAATGGGGAATCCGTGCCTCCAGTAAACCAATCTGGCTATGCTCCACCACCACAAATAAACCGACAAGCACAACCAAACTATGGAAACTATCAGCAGTACCCATTGCAACCGCCCCCTCCGGAATTACCGAAGAGAGACTGGAGGGATTGGTTCATAATGGCAACCGTGATGGGTGGAGTAGGATATGGGTTGTACTTTGTCGCAAAGGTGAGCCATACTGTTTGACAACTGTCGATTTCGCTGACCTTTCATAGCGATATGTTTACCCAGTTATTGCGCCTCCGACAGCACCACAACTCGAACAGGACAAACAAGCTATCGATGACCAATTCGAAAAGGCGTTCACCTTATTAGATCAGCTTTCGAAAGATACCGATGCCCTCAAAACTTCCGAACAAGCTCGAACGGAAAGACTGGATGCTGCTCTGACGGAGGTTGAGGGTGTCATTGGTGAATTGAAGAATTCTAGCAGGAGAAGAAAGGAAGAATCTCGTAATATCAGTGACGAAGTTCGACTTCTCAAAGATTTAATACCAAGGGCTATGGATGGGCAGAAGCAAAGCACGGATACCAGATTGAGAGAACTCAATACTGAGTTGAAGAGCTTGAAGACATTGATGGGGCAGAGATTAAACCCCCCATCAACCTCTGGTCCCGGCTCATATGGCAGGTCTTCCGGGATTTCTGTACTGAACGCTACTGTTACCCCTACAAACCCCAGCAGCAATGCAACTACAAACACGGAAAGCGCAACACCAACGCCCGTCTCAGCAAGTAATGGAGCAAACTCAGAGGGTGTTGCTTCAATCCGTAGTGGAAGTCCTTTTGGTACAGGAATGCCTGCGGGAAAAGCTGCTATTCCATCATGGCAATTAGCATCGAATAAGAGTACCGCCTCTGCAGATACCTCGACTGGATCCGCTAGTGGGTCACAAGAAGCATCTACGTCGTCATAATAATCCGTGGAGTTCAGAATGTACTATGTATGGTTTTGGGGAGTTTGCATGTGTCGGCGCAACTTGGATGGATGTAACACTTAGGGAGGACTAATGAAAAAGAATCGGAATAGTAATTCAATGTATACAAATCTTTTCAAGGAACTGAGCTGGTCACAAGCCAAATCTTGTTGTTGACCTCGAGTCAGGTTTTGATGTAATTGTGTTACCAGGTAGAGAGCTAACATTAGTTGTGACATCAGCTGTGAGTCTTGTGATGGAGGAATTAAAATACCTCTTCAAAACAACAGGGAGTGGCGACCTCTATTTCTGTTCTTCTAACAAAAAGCGGAGAATTATTTAGATTATTGAATTCCCTAGCTGCCCATTGAACCCGCTTGTATTAGTTTGAGATGTCATAGTGGGTGTCTTGTGTTGTGTTTTCGGCTACCGCTGGCACTGTGAAGTACAGGAGGTAAAGATGCCCGAGGGTGCCAAATCTCCCTCCAAAGCTGGGAAAGGCGAACAAGACTTAAACGATTTAAACGAGAGGGCCAGAAGATCGCTTGATTGAAGTCTATAGGTACAGAAAATAAAAACCAAGGACAAGTGAATGTTGCTTTTCCTAAATTGGTCTCCATGTTTAGTTATGAATATCTATCTACGGGAAGTCGGCAAAAGAAAACCTAGGACCTCGAGCGCCGATCCCCAACCCCCTCTCACATGCACGTGCGGCGCTAAGCAAGGTAGCAGTTCACCTTTCGCGGGACACCACCGACAGCTTTGATCCTGCCTTGCTCTGTCAACATCCTTCATCAACAGCATCTTGTTGACCAGATAGGATAGCATCATTGTCGCAACACATTCCTATACGCACCGCTGATTGAGCGATCCTTCAAAATGACGGAAGTCTCAAGGTAACAACTCCATCGATACCAACTACCAACTTCGGCGGCAGAGAAACGAATCTAACACCGCGGATAGTACTCGTCTCTACTTGGGAAATCTGCCGAGAAATGGTAAGTGGATGAAATGCGATCGCGCTCCCTCTGCGCTCTCATTCTCCTAGTTCTTGGTGCTGTTGATTTCTTGACCACGTCCCTGTGCTAATCCAATCATGCAGCCACCAAGGCGGACGTCGAGGCACATTTCAATACCCACGGCACGGGCGAGATCACTGAGATCAAGCTCATGAATGGCTTCGGATTCATCGAATACAAGGATGCAATGGATGCGCGCGATGTTGTTCCTGGTATGGCCCCAAAACACCCCATGCGACACGATGGATCGAAGAGCCCTTGTGCGACGCGGGCTTTGAGGTTACCTGCTTACACTATACTATCTACAGCCTTTCACGGTTCCGATTTCATGGGTGAACGCTTGACGGTTCAATTTGCTCGGGGTACTCGCAGTCGTGATGGACCCTTTGCAAACAATGAGCGCACCGCCCCTCGTCCTCGCCGCACGCCCCATCGCATGCAAATATCTGGACTCCCAGGTGAAACCAGCTGGCAGGTCTGTTTCCCCCGTTCCTTCACCCGGACTCTTGGATCTCAATTCGTGCTATTCGGACTCTGAACTATCGCATTCATATATAAATTGGACCGCTTTAATGTTATTGATCCAATATTCGGCAAGATTTTCTTAAGTCCAGGCCGTCATGCCATGTTTGGCCACACAGAGCCATTTCAGCATGTTAGTGCATTTGCCTGAGCAGCCTTGGACTTGGAGGATTTCCAATCCCTTCTCCCTGGCCTTTCTTATCCTGTTTCGACTCCTTCTGTTGTCCTTTATTGCTGCCCCTTACGTATCTGGAAAGCAATTACTTTGCACAGGAGAATGCAACTCAACCGTTGGACCATGTAAATATCATCCTCGGGACTTTTTGTACTGGCAACTTTTGGAGGGCAACTACCTATGGCTTGGCACTATCGCACCAACATACCTGGACAACGACTTACATGGATTCTGGATTTAGGATCTCAAAGACTTCGCGCGTCAATCCAGCCTTGACGTTGTTTATTCCGAGACCGGGCGTGACCGGGATGGAAAGGGTGCATCGTAGGTGTTTCCTTCTAGCATCTCTTAGACGTCTTTTAACGGGGAGACAGGAGCTTTGTTGAATTTGAAACCGCTGCGGATCTGAAAACTGCAGTGGAAAAGCTTGATGGTCGCGAATTCAAGGGTGCTCGTGTGACTTGTGTTGCAGACGTATGTAGCTGTGTATCCTTTCAATCTTGCATCTTACTAAACTCAACAGACTCAACCGGATATTCCGCGCGACAGATCAGCTCGTTCTCGATCACCCGTTCGTCGTCCTTACCCGGATGATTATGACCGACGTGGACCACCCCGTGGATACAGCCCTCGCAGAGACGGTGGTTACCGTGATAGAAGCCCTCCCAGACGTGGCTATTATGATGATGACCGTGGACGCTATGGTCGTTCCCCACCAAGAGCCCGCGGCCCTATTGATGATTATCCACCTCCTCGTGGTCGATTTGAGGATCCTTACAGACGTGACTACCCTCCGGATCCATATGTGAACGGTAGACCTCCATATGATAGAGGACCACGGGACTATCCTCCTAGAGATCGCCGAGGTTACGGTGAGGACTATCCACCTAGCCGTTACTGAAAGGTGAGCCACTCCACTACACATAAATGGTTGCCTTGGCTAATTCAATAGACCGAATTTCTGAAGTACACTGCGATCAAGCATTCTGATAAGCTAGGGGGCAATTGCGCCACACACAATATTGGGGAGTACGTCCTCAGATATGAGTGTGTGGATGATTATGATGCAGATACACGAATTTTCTCTTTATTTGATTTCCATGGGGTTTATTACCAAAAGTCCTTGGGTTTTTCCTCGATCGGTGGCACTGGACTCGATTCATGCTCGGGCATCAGAGATAAGCATCTTGCATGTAATTAATTGATAGGACAATTGAATGGTTTTTTCTTACTACATGATATCTCGCATCCCGTTATGAAATGCATGTGTGATTTGATAACTCGAGAGGTCGTCCACCAGTCGTACAGGGTAAGCGAAAATGACCAATGAGATACCGGTATGAGATCCCTTCGCAAGATCCTTGTCGCGCATCCGCAAAGACATCGCTCGGCCATGACTAAAACAAGTGGTCGCTGTGGTCTCGGTTGTGTGCGAGCTGAGCGAGTCTGTTCTCCTCGCGGCCTCGCATTGGAGGAAAAAGAAAGACGGGTGAGTTTCATTTTTTCAGACGAGAGGTTTGGTGGAAGTATCTTTTGGGAGAGAGACGAGTCCCAATCATCGTCTTTTCTGATCTTTTGAGGTGTGCGGGGAAGATGCTGTCTGAAGTCCCGAGGGTGGAAGCTTCCAACCCAATCGCGCCTAAGTATTCTGGGGTCGTGACGATAGCCTTAAGTAGCGGTGTCTTGTGCTGGTGTCACGTAAGGTTTTGTGGCAGGTTCCAGTATTGATATTGCTGGTCTATTACCGGTATGTATAACAATCTGCGCACCGAGCTCGCAAGTTTCGCAAAAGTTTCCTTCTTGGTTGGAAACCTTTGTGGCCATCTGTTTCCTTAGATCTCGTATATGGTGGACGGTGGCACCGTTATTGGCACGTTTATTTAACCTTTCTTATATATTTTGAATGCCCCTTTTTTAGTTTGGTTCTTCACTGAGCGTGTTGTGTTTCATTCTCTTCGTTTTCGGAAGTTAAGAGCTCTTCCTCGCTTCCGCTTTTACATTTCGCAAGACCTCAAATCATCAAGCTTTTGCCACACCAAATTCAACCATGGACTTCTCTCCAGCTGCTCTCGCCAAATCTTTGCTTCCCCGAGTTCCTTTGTTGGGAAAGACAGCCATTACCCATACGCTAGGACGTACCGAACAGTCAGGAAAATGGGATTTACGGACTGCTCTTGTGACGTCTCTTATCCGATCGTATCTCCTTGATAGCCCGCCACAAGCAGTATCAAAGAGTCAAAAGGCGAGTCTGAAAGATCCAGGTGTAAAAGGGAGGGTATGGATCAGTAAGATCACCATGTCACCACCAGCAGAGGACGACATCAGACGTTCTATTTTCCACATTATTGAATCCATGAAAGAGTCTGGAGAAGCAGAAGGAGGGTATAGGGAACCCGAAATGGTACCTGTGGAAGCAGAATGGACAGGTTACCGGGCAGCAGCAACGAAGAAATCGCCTGAATTGAACATCTCAGAGGAGGAGAAATATAAAGAAATGATGAAAGAAGTCACCTCACCAACAACGATCCTCTACTTCCACGGTGGAGCTCACTATCTTATGGATCCCGCTTCCCACCGACCTACCTGCAAGAAACTAGCAAAAATAACAAAAGGTCGATGTCTAAGTGTCCGATACCGACTAGCTCCCCAGAACCCCTTCCCATCCGCTCTCATCGATGCTCTAGTATCTTACCTTACGCTCCTCTATCCACCTCCTGGGTCTCTCCAAGATCCTGTCCTGCCAGAGAACGTCGTCTTCGCAGGCGATTCAGCAGGAGGAAACCTATGTCTCTCCCTCCTCCAAACCATCCTCCAATTCCAACGTCTAAACCTCCGACCCCTCTTCCACGGATCTTCACGCTTCATCCCTCTCCCAGCAGGCTGCGCAACCGCCTCCCCTTGGTGCGATGTAACATTGTCCCTCCCGTCCCACCTAAAAAACGCACCCTTCGACTACCTCCCCGGCCGAACCACCCGCCCCGTCGACGGCATCCCGTACCCACCATGTGAAATCTGGCCTTCCAATCCTCCCCGGAAAGCGTTTTACGCAGATGATGCGCTTCTTTGCCATCCGCTTGTTAGTCCCGTGGTGGCAGAGAGTTGGGAGGGCAGTTGTCCTATTTATATTGCGGTGGGACAGGAGTTGTTGAGTGATGAGGGGAAACATGTCGCTGCTAAGGCGAGGAGACAGGGTGTTGAGGTTGTTTTTGAGGAGTTCGAGGCGATGCCTCATTGTTTTGCGATGATCTTTGAGGGAATGGAGGGTAGCAAGCGGTTTTTTAATGGGTGGGGTGCGTTCATTGGGATTGTTAGCGGTGGGGATGGGAATAGGAAGGTGGAGAGTAAAGGGAGTTGTATTGTTGCTAAGACTTTGAAGGAGAGGACGTTGGATTTTGGAACTTTAAGTGAGTTAAAGGATGAGGAGGTCAAGGAGTTCATGAGGGAGGGAGCGAGCAAGATGAAGACTTTCGAAGGGGATCCTCTGACTGCTTCGAAATTGTAGGTTTGGGAGGGCGATGTATGCGGCGTATTAGCGTTTGTATGATTGGACCATGCTTTTCGGTAGATAGGTGATAAGTTTAGCGAGCTCTTTGAATTGATTTTGGTTATTCGTACTCCTCTCCGCAATTGGTGAATTCTTAAATCTTGTTTCGACTTTGTTGCATGTTTCGAAATTCTAACCTGTCGTGGCCGTTTGTCCTTTGATGATCAGATGAAAACATCGGATTTCTTCTTTTGTTGCACTTCGCGAAATTTTGAATAACCCCACATATCCTGGGACTAGGACTATGTAGGGTTAGACTTATGATATTTAACCTCTTGATGAGAATACCATCTTATACGTGTAGATATCTCTCGCCTATTACTGACTACTGGGGAATCGCTATCAAAGTCATCTTACATCGATACTTGAGACAGCCGGAAATAAATAAGCGAGCTCCTCCTTGTAATCATTTAGCAAATTGGAACTCCTCACTTCCCTTACACATGAGAAGGAAAGGTGGCTGCACGAACGGAGGTTGGTTACACCTCGACATTTACGAGAAGGGAAGAGTAAAATGTAGAACGGGCGGGCTTGGATTCCGTTTCGGCTTGAGCATATGCGGTAAGATTTCATCTTTATTTGCGGTGGCAAGTTCCGTAGGTGTGCGTTTGCATTGTCAACCCTTTTTTCCTTAGGCGAGGCGAGGTCTGTGTTTAGAAGAGACGACACCCCAATTGCGGGATTAAAGGCAAGGGAAATGGGCTAGTGTTGAAGAGTGGTTTTTTGGGGGGGAGGAAGATTCTTGCGGATTTGAGGTAGGAGTATATATGTAGATTAGTGGATTCTATAATTCGTTACTTTTTGTCGCATGTCACACTTCTTGAAATGTTTCTGAATCTGAACGGATCAATACTGTTGATGCTACTTTCTGTTGCACGTCGCACATCGGCAGTATTGCCGATTCTCTTCAGCATAGGATTTACAGAGGGTTAAGGACTAAGTGTAGTATATACTTGTAATTTTGTGGAATTTTCCAAATTTGGACTTTAACGAGATCGATACTCTCGATATTACTTTATCTCGAATTGAGAAAATGAGCAGTCTTCAGAATGGGCAAGAAAATTAGCAGTAGATAGATAGCCTTTATTTTCCTAACTCGATAGAACTGCCCATACTTATACAAAGATCTTAGCTTCTGTTAAACCATCAATTCCGATTTCTAAAACAAATCCGTTTATCAAACCAAAGGTCTAGATGCTTACTTATCAATCTAAACTCCCGAAAATTAGGGTAATTGGGGATAAATTTACGGCCACCTTCCTTGCCCTTTAGGGCCTGTTTGACTCGCACGTTTTTTAAATATGCGCCATATAAAAAGATTTACATGCATATTGGTATATGCGAGGGTGTTTGGTTAGCCGCATATATAAATTATAAATTCATCATAAATTAGATGTATATCTATCTATTTACACTTCTTTTTAGATATGCACCACTAAAATAAAGATATAAAAGATATGAGACCTAAAACTCCAACGATTTCTTTTACACGCTCGTATATTGTTTGATTTTAAGTACTTCTACGTCTACCTAGTGCCCCCTCCAGTGTCCTACTCTATAGAGCTTCCCCGCCCTTTCCTTCTCTATATTATAGTACCCCTGCCGCGAGCTCCCCCCTCCACCATCCCCTGTATCACGTCTTTACGTTACCCTCGATACGCAAAACATATCCTATAGAAGGGAGCCATTTCTTTATTATATTAGTACCTTCCCCTGCTGTCCGCCGGGAGGGGGCCCGGGGCGGGGTGAAGAATGGGGG